TGATTGCCGATCGGGAGCTGGTCATGAGGTATTAATCGGTTCTTGTTACCCCATGTTTACTACACCAAGCACGACACGATTAAGCCAAAATTTCGAAAAAGTCATCTAAAAAAGGGCCAAAAATCGCACAGTGTACATCCGGTTTTACTCAGACGTGCATGTATGAAACAAAACACAACTTCAGGTCTGTTTTTAAGGATGAAACTAAATTCTAACACGATTTAAAGCTCATAAGGATCCATTTTGTGTCATATAGAACGTTTAAATCCTATTACAACCCAGTGGCACACCTGCATGGCCTGTTTACGAAAATGTTTTACCACTTTGGAAAATTAACACATAAATACAAGCTAATCATTTTGTTGACAATTTAAAATGATGTAAAAAGTGTGTACATTAGATTTGGAAAGCATGCAGCTGCACTTGTTTGCACTGTCTAATGTAATTAAGAGGACTGTCTGGGTGAGAGGAGATGTGACGACAGTAAAGGCTGAAAAAGAGTAATTGAATAAAGTGACTTTGAACGTCTCAGCTCACAAAGGGGGATTTAACGTCTTTCATGCAGCGTGTAGTAGAGATCTGCTGCCATCTAGTGTCTTTATGTCAAATTGCAGGTCTGATCTATCTAAAGCATAAAAATATTCAATTAAAAGTATTACTTGTAAAGATTAAGTAAAAGTCTTAAAGTACCTGTCTAAAAGCAATTTTTAAAGCATTGCACTGATTTTTTTGTAGTTGTTTTTAGTCATATATATTTTTTGCACAAACAAAGAAATAAACCCTCAGCCTTTTCACCAAGTCTCAGGCAATCATAAAAAATACTCCAAAAGTTAATGAATAAATAAATAAATAAATAAATAATGTAGTAGGGTAGAAAGTAGAGATAACTGCTTTCAAATGTAGTGAAGTAAAAGTAAAAAGTATCTATTTTAAAATGTACTTAAGTTAAGAACAGATACCAAAATTTTACAGTATACTTAGTACAGTACTTTACCAGTTTTACTTTGTTACATTCCATCACTGGTTAAAAGAATAACAAAATTGCTGCCTATAGTGGTGGTGGTGTACTGGCAAAAACGATTGTATTCTCTTTTTTTTTTTAGGATGGACAATGATGCTTTTTATCCAGACTAAAAATATTGTTACAGATTATATACAATCTATATTATCTTGAGACAGACAACAATCAAACCTGTACAAATGAAGGAATTGAATTTTGACAGTCACATTCAAATGGACAGTTTTTGATTGGCAAGAATATTAACTGTGAAATACAATGGAGCTAAAGAAGTAAAAATCTCATTTATTTTTCTCATAGACTTTCCGAATAAAAATAAATGAATTAAAGTTTGAATGCTTGCTCAGGGCTAATCAGCTACATGGTGACTGATGACCACAAAACATAATTTTATATAAAATATGTTTCTAAAACTGAAACCAAAATTATTAAAGCGCTCATCCCAATCATATGTTTTAAATGTCCTTTTGGATACAACTGCATTATGGATATTAGATATTACGTAGCAGATTTGCCTCCAGGATGCCTTTGAACTTTTAATATGTTTGAATTTATTGTCTATGGGAAAAATAAATGGGACAGTTACTACTTTACTACAGATCAGTTGGTCACTGTTGAGCTCCAAAGAGCTGTCCTCTTTTGCTAATCTTTGGGTCAATTAGACCAGTTCAGCTCATGAGACTGACTGATTCAGAATTATTATTATATACTGATTATAATTCCACTCCTCTTCAGGCATGTAACTGTTGTGTTTCATTCAGAAGTTTGTCAAATAAATAAATAAACAAATAAAGTTACATGTCTAAATATTACTCATTTATGGCACAATATGCAACTTTTCAGGTAGAGGGTCCCCTACAATTTATTTATTTTTTTTCCCATTGAGATGTTACTGCTTTGTCTAGAGCAGGGGTGTCAAACTCAAGTTCACAGAGGGACAAAATTAAAAACTTATTTCGAAATATGTAATGTTAAACCTTTTCTTATTAAAATAAATGTTTAATAATAGTTTTGCTTAAACATTGAATCCAGAACAAGCGTAATATAGAATAGTAACATTTTAAATAAATAATGTCTCTATAGTCTATCTGTAGCCGGTGGGCCAGCTCTAATACATACTTCATATGATCGCAAATATAAGTATATCGTGGGCCAAATTTGGCCCCTGGGCCTGAGTCTGACATGTCTGGTCTAGAATGTTCCACAGTATGGCATTAAGCAATCTTACATAAAGTATGGTATTTTATTGCTCAAACATGCATTCTTTTAAAAACATGATCTGACACAGATCTGACACAGATCTGACCTGTCACTTGGCCTTGGATTCACTTGCTTCCTTCTTTGGAAATGGATGTGTTTAATGCTGTGCTGTAGGTTAAGGCCGTGCTTCCAGATAAAACAAAAACATCTCCATGGAAACAAACAACTGGCGGACCGTCCACAAGGAAAGTTAGACATTGTACCTTTAAGTCTTTGTTGCTAATTCAAAAGGTTATACATGTAAGTAAATAAAATTATCACCTGAAATACACTTAAGTATTAAATCCATTTAAAAATTGTACTTTGAGAATAAAAAGTAAAAAACATTTTGCACAGATTTTGAGGTCTTGTAAGGTTTCAGATGTAATGATTTTAATATAGATTTGTGCTGAATTTTACTCAACAGAAAAAACTTAATCAATCTCTTTTTTTTTTTTTACAGCTGTTTTTATTTGAATATGTTTATTTGCTCAAGTTTTAAACGTGTTAAAATAAACTCTCAGCCTTTTCAGTTTTACTTGCAATTTTACTTAAAGGTGAACTATGTAGCATTTTTGGTTAGAGGTGCATCATCTGCTTGTTTCTATGGATATGTCATTGTTCTGACTTTATTTATTTATTTATTTATTTGATTGAGACAGAGCATGTGAATGGACAGACATGATGCAACATGAACGTAAACAAACCGGATTACAGGCAAAGACTAATTTCCATTTATTGTCCCAAAGTATGACATTAAACAGCTCTATCTTAAAATAACCTTAAATTACAGGTGTTTTTATAGCTGAAAAATACCTAGAAAAAAAGGCATTCTGACTGTGAGCAGTGTTGCCTCTCCACAGATCTAACCTATAACTTGGTTTGGTCTCCATGAAGACAGAAAGCTTTAAAATCATACTGTGAAACATTCCAGACAAAGCAATAACATCTCTATGGAGAAAAGCATTTGACAGACCCTCCACCAGAAAAGTTACACAATGCACCTTTAAGTACAGGACTTTACTATTTTGAATTTATTACCTTCCACCAGTGATGACGACTGAAGTAATGTGAACTATATGGGAACATATTGCGACTGTGGGGCTTATCAAAGGGTCTGCATGACAGTTGGCAGAGTCACTGGGACCTCCCATACCACATGTTGGTGATAATTACAGCCTGATATCTGCACTGAGCTGAGAATCCATCACTCTCGTCTAGTTCACTCTGCATTGCAACACTCAATTAGTTTGAACTGTACTGACTTGGTTTGGTTAGAGTTTTAGTATTTATGATGTAAAATTATTATTTTAATTAGATAGTGGCTGTCCACAGGTTTCAGAATGGTGAGAAATTAGGAATGCCATAGCAGTTAACCAACATATGTGAATGGCTTAAAGGTCATTCAATACACACAACTGACCTCCTTAAAAACATACCGGAACTTGTATTTTTTTTCTACATCTCCAAAGCTCAAAGTGCTCTGTTCCACCATGTGATGTCAAATAGTTTACTTTTTATTCAGTAGAGATTGGCAATTCCAGGGCTAAAATCAACCAAATGATTCTAGTGAAGGTGTATGGAGTTTTAAAAACACAGTGGAGCACTTTTTTGTCTGCGAGAAGAACTCAGCCTGAATTTAGGGTTTGTGTGTTAAATATGTGTGAATGAAACTAAACAAAACTCCAGGTTTGTTATTGATAAGGGAACACCATAGATCAAAATCTGGCATAATATGTATTCAAAATGTTGCATATAACAGGAGGCTGAAGTCCATGAATACTGTTGTATTTTCTGATATGAACTGGGTGAACCAAATAAAAACATTAATAACACCCAAAGGCATAAAACTGCTCTGGATGTGCATAGGTTTCAACTCAATGTTTTATGTGACATTTTGTAGATTTAAAGTCACAATATGTCACTTTTAATGATTTTTATTTTTTATTTTTTGATTGTGTTTATTGCATTGAAAAACTCTGACAAGCTTGCATCTCCACAAACGTGACTCTTATTTGGACTAGAGGATGGCCTCTTTCTGCTTTTTCCCATGGGAATATTCCTTTGGCTAACGTTACAGTGTGTGGCATAACATGTATCTATCTCCATGGAGACGGTTCTGAAGTATGTCTAAGTATAGCTTTAACTTTTTATTTCCATGGAATCATGAAACCTCCATGAAAGTTACATACTATACTTATTACTAAATATTAAATATTAAAAAATGTCAAAATATTAAAATAATTGGTATTAGTTATAATTACTTTTTGACAGAATAAAATTCAGGATTCGTAATGTTGTAGTTGTCTATGAGTAGTGGCCTAGTGGTAATGTTTTTGTTTTTACGCATATGCATTTTACAGTAGGACTAGCCTACTGTAGTAGATTTACGTACCCAATTTATTTGAATGAACCTGTCACCAGACTAAACTTGAGTAACAAATGTTCCATCAAAATTTATAAAGATAAAAATAATAATAATAAAAAAATATTCAGTCTAAATTTGTGTGCAATAGCGCAAAATTCGTTGGGAAAAAAAAATCTATACCAAATCAAACTGTTGCATCATCCATTACGATTCGGCTGCCCACGCATCTTTCTGACGCCTGGGCACAAAAAAAGATTTATCTGGTTCTTCCATTGCTGAAGAGGCCAAAGTCATCGCACGGCATACCTGTGAATGCAACCGTGATGCTCCCAAACGCGGAAGCAGGTCAGGTTTGCTATATCTCCACTGGCATCTTTGTCCAATCCAAAGAGCCACAACGTGAATGCAGCTGAGTGAGGGGGGACTGGAGGGGGGAGAAGGCAGCAGAGGAGCAAAGCAACACAAGTGACCGCTGTAGCTTCATGACAACCAAACAGGCTTAGGAGAAAAAGCCCGAGCGGCGAGAGAGCGTCTTTACTGGGGGGAAAAGATAGCAGAAAGCCGAGGGAGGGTTGCTGGAAAGGGCGCCGGGCCGTATTTTTTCCCACGGATGACTCTTTGTTTCGGTTTATTTTAAGGGCAGAGGGGGTGCAGAGAATATCAGTAGTGGTAACAGGTTAGCCCTAGCCTCCGCCATATCCTCTGCTGCGTCGGAGCTTTCGCCGTGTCTTCCAGCACACCATGGGGAACGCTGCCACCGCCAAGAAGGGCAACGAGCTAGAGAGCGGTGAGTTTTTGCGGGGATGTTGTTATGATGATGGCTTCGGTGGTGCTTCAGGCTACGGGGCGTTCGGTAACCTCTGGTAAATTAGCAGGTTATGCTGTTTACAACACTGTCCAAACTCGGTACAGTACAGCACAGTAGAAGGGAGGGTCGGGCGCACACGTCCACCGCGAATTAAACATCTTTACGCACAAAGTTGTCGGTTTTTGCTCGCGATTTTTACGCACGGTGGTTTTCGAAAGATAAGCGTAGCAAAAGGGGCCTACTGATCGTTAGCTTGTAGCCAGAAAGACCCATTTGTGTTGTTATTATCTTCACTTTAAGGGGGTGGGGTAGGGGGTCGCAGGACTGGGTATCATTTTCGCCTATTACAACGCGTAAAACACACTTGGCGCTGTAACACATCTGTCTCTTTTTAGACCTTTGTAATTTCATTTATTACACGATAAAGTAAATCCGGGTAGTGGTCACTTAGCCTGCTAACTTTAGCTGTGGGTTGGGGGATTAGCCGTACAAGGCCCCTCATCCCTCTGCCTCTTGATGGTAGTAGTAGCAGCAATTCAGGCCTTTATTGCTCAGAGTTAGCCATGGCGATGCAAGCGTACACTGTCCATATGCGAAGGAAATGCCTCAAATTCTTACAACCGCATCATGACTTATCTTGTCCTAAACGTGCCCATACCAATAATTAAAACCTGTAATGTCAGGACTGTGTTTAATGGTTGCAGTGGCAAGCTGTCACACTCACACATATGAAGACTCTCCATATTAAACATCACGCACACATTTGCAACGGTTAGCCTATAAATAGCACATACATTTACTAGAAAGTATTGTGCTGCATTTCCCCTCCTCCTCGTGCTCCCTTGACACATTTTATTCTCTGTTACATAAACAAACCAATCCTCCCAGTGCTGCACCATCATGCCCAAGTATGGTGAACAAATGACAAATGCTGATGTTCCCGTTCAAGTTTAAAGGTGCACTGTGTAACTTTCCTGGAGATGGTCTACAGCCTGTTTGTCTCCATGGAGATGTTAATGCTTTGGTTTAAGTTGTCCATGTTATGGTACTGAACTGATCTGTCTTGCATTTATTCAACTACAGGTGTTCGATTTATTGCTCAAAAACATCATTCTTGCTGTGAATGGAGTCGCCATTCCACATATCTGACCTGTAATTTGGCTGGCACGTCTCCGTGGAGATTCATACCATTGTGACCATACTGTGGAACATTCTGGGCACATCTCCATGCAACAAGCAGGTGATGGACTCTCCACCAGACAAGTCACATAGTGCAGCCTTAAAGGTGCACTGTGTAACTTTCCGGTGGAGGGTCCCTTGACCTATTTTTTACCTGGATTTTTTCACAGTATGATATTAAACTTCTCTTTTTCCATGGAGAAAAGCACCAAGCCAATTTACAGGTCCAATTTGTGGAGAGGTGGGCCCGCTTACTGTAGAATACATATTTTTCATGGTATTGTTTTATTGTAAAAACACCTATTATTTAATAATAAGTATGGCATAAGTTTAATAGCATACTGTGGTACACTGAAGGGAAAACAATCTCCCTGACATATTTCCATGGACACAAGCTGGTCCTGCCTTGTACCGGAGAAGTTACATAGTGCACCTTTAAGTCCTACTACTTCCACTGGACCTTCTTGGCATTTACACAGGTAAACACAGACAGCGCAGCCAAAAGTGCATACCTCGTGCCCAGTTAGAGCTATTTTCCTCTAATCTGACCGTGGTAAAGGACTCAGTTGTCACTGACTCGAGCAGCTTGTCATCAGACCTTCGTCAGAGGATAAGGGGTATTACAAGCTTTGAACGTTTGACGCAACTGGGCCCTGGGACTGTGTTACTCTGCTTGTACGTACTAGAATGCTCACTGATCACCCCATGAGATAAAACTAGCAAAAGTGATAATTTCACTGTTAACAATTCAGAACGTAGTAGATGATTTGATTAGTTGCTTATTTTACCAAGAATTGCATAATGTGAAATAGTCGATAATGTACTAAAAGTTCAGAGGTAATTCCTGATTTTCTTTTACAAACTGTCTACATTCCAAAGAGGTTTATTAGCCAGTTAACTTAAGACAACCCAAGCAGTAAGGTGTCCAAGAGGCATTGCCAAGCGGTGACTTCAGGCAGGAGTTGAAGATTGCGTTTCTTCTTGGCTGTGATCCCTAGATCCTGACCGGCTAACAGCTAAAACCATTTAAGCTTGACACTATGGCCCGAATAGCAGATTTACAGAGCGACCCGGTTACCTAGAGTCCACCCTCCCTCACTTCCTCCCCCCTCTCTCCCTCTTTCTCTCTAAATATAAAAGAGCATTACTTTGTTGTTTAGCGTAGCCTAGATTAAGCAGTTGCCATTATCCTGACACCTCTTCAGTTTCACACAGTATAGGGTCTGGCACCGGTACTTACACACAGGGCCAGAGAATCACATAACCCTGCTATGTTATGCCTGAGTGGCCTCGGCTCACAGCCCTTCAGCTCACTTTTTTCCATTTCAAGTCGGCCACAGTGGTGCAAAGGGATGGAAAGACACCTGCGGAATCAATCAAGGACTATTTCAGAGGCTGGATGCATAATGATAGTACACAATGTACTAAAGGTCCAATTAAATCTGGTGAAATCGTGTTATAAATACAGTTTTGTATTTGTATCTGTATCTGTATGCATTATGTGATAATACTGACTGGACAAGTTACAAATTAGAAAATGTTCAAACCTTTACTGTGAAAGTGCATGGTCAAACTTAAAGCCATTTTGTGCAATATTGGACCTTTAAGACATAATATAATGCTGTTACCTCCTCAAAAACATACTCGGGGATGTGTTTTGTTTCATTCACACATGTTTGAGTAACCCTTTATTATTAGTCTGTCTACAGCTCCAAAGCTCAAAATGCTGTGTTCCACCTTGTGATGTCTTGTAGTGGTAATTTTCAAGTTAAGAGCTACTTTATTTTCCTTAGTTCAGTAGAGAGAAATTCCAAGGCTAAAATCATCCAAATGATTCTAGTGAAGGTGTACTGACTTTAAAAACACAGAGAAGCACGTTCTGTATTACCACATGACATCACAAGGTGGAACAGAGTGCCGTGCATTTGAGAGAAGAACTCAGCATTTTTATAAGCAACTTTAGCAACATTAACACAGATCAGATATAGTGTAATATAGATCCTTATCACTAAACCAGGAAACCATCTGAAATCATCATGTACGCAAAACTAAGAAAAACAAAACAGCTCTACTCACGCTCAAAAGTTCTATATTTTATTTCACAAAGCAAAATGAAATGATAACTTGCTGCCCTAGCTGTAATGGTCTGTAGTTCTGTTTTAGTTTTTAAGGTTTCACTGTGACAGAAAATATATTTTTATGCAATATACATTCCCTTATTGTTAGATCATCCATTCCTACTAGTCATAATTAATGGTTACAATAATGAAGAGACTAAAAGGGTGTAACACAAAGAATTTTAAGTTAGGTTTGTTTTGTTTATTTGTAGTTAAAAAAACACATTGGAAAAACATGCACAAAGTTCAAAGTTCACCGTGAGACATTAAAACCAACCACATAAACAAACAATAGACCACCATTACAGACGACATATCATACTGAAATAAACAAGATACAGAGATTGAGGAGCTAAAATATTAAGGAGTTACATCAAAGTTTAAAGTGCAAATCTTATAACAGTTTATGAAGGAAATATCAGACAGAAAGATGCAATTTTACCATAACTTCCTGAAAATATCACAGTCATTATTTGTACAGTTAGATATTGTTACTTTTCTACAGTGGTGAATGGTAAATGTATCACATGAAAAAATCTGCTAAAGTAAAAGTATTCAAGAACCCATTTAAAAAGTAAGAGTAAAAAGTATTTTTTTTTATTTTTGTGGTGAATTTTGTTCAACAGAAACAACTGAATTGATAATATTTTGTAGCTGCTTTTATTTGCTTATTTTTACAAAATTGTTGAAAATAAACCACTCAAGCTTTTCAGCAGGTCTCAAACAATAATACTTTTACTTTTCAGTCCAGTTAAAAAATGTAGTGGAGTAGAAAGTACAGATACCTGTCTCCAAATGTAGTGAAGTAGAACTTAAAAATATCCACTTTTAAACATACCATACTTAAGTATAGATACCTAAAATGGATACTTAATTACAGTACTTTATTACTTTTAATTCATTAGGTTTCAGCACTGCTTTTCTACTTAGTTTTGTGTATTTGTATCCAGCCCTTTTGTTTATTTAGTCCTTGTCAGTCCGCAGATGTTCACCTCCCATGGCTCTCCCTCACCCAAGCAAACCCGCTGTGACATAAACAGTGTCCACTCCAAACAAAGTCCAAGTGGAGAGTGTACTCAACTGTGTGTACATAAACCATACTCCAACTATAAATGTCCATCGCATCACTCTACAAGTATTCAAACAGTACTACATTACATCGCATTCTCAGTATTCCACCTTATCTTTATATCTGGGCTTACTATGCATGAACAAATGTGCGTAACAGCTCATGTCACTCTGGGTGCACCTGTTCTTTGAAAACCACCGTTGCCAGGGCGATCGAAATTCCACAGCGTGTTGTCTCGGCCTGTCACGATAATTACTATATTGGTTTATCGTTTATTATATGAAAGCTGGAAGAATATTTTGGGGGGTTAATAGTTATTGTGTGCACATTTTCTTTGGCTAATGGGAAATTTTTGGTTAGTTTATGGTTAAGATAAGATAAGATTTAAAGGTGCACTGTGTAACTTTTCTTGTAGAGGGTTCATCACCTTCTTGCTTCTATGGAAATGTCATTGCTCTGCTTGGGATGTTCTACAGTATGACTTTAAACAGATTTATTCAATTACAGGTGGTTTTATAAAAGTTATACAATGCACCTTTAAGCCATAAAAGGTTGAAAAAATAACTTCTATGACTTATTATAGATGTTGACTAAGTACAAAAGTGTTTCATTCAGTTTATTTATTACAATACTGTAGATTCAGAATATTTTGAGGGGGTAATCCTGCTTTAGACTGCATGTATAAGTGTCATAAATTAGTTCCAATATGCTTAGTGTCTATATTTTCTTCATTAAAGGTGTGTTATGAAACCTGGTTGAGGGTTCGTCAAACGCTTTTCTCCATGGAGATGTTATTGCTTTGTCTGGAATGTTTCACAGTATGGTATTAAACTGTTCTATCTTCATGGAGACTTAACCAGACTAAGGTACAGTTTAGATCTGTGGAGAGTAGGGATGTAACAATAACCAAAATATTGTGATATCGTATCGTCAAAAGTCTCACAATAATATCATGGGCTGTCACAATATATCAAATTACAAGTTCCTTTGCTTAAATGCATGGTTTTATAGTAGCAACATCTTATAAACATCGGGAACTACATATCCCATGATTCATTTCAGCGCAAATAACATGAAGAAATATGTTTTTTACTTGAATTCTTGGGATTATGACGGAAATAATTCACACCAAAATCTTGTCAAGGTATTTTAAAAGCAGAAACGTGTTTGTCTACAATTATATCAGTCTCTCCAAAATATCGCAATAAATATTGTACCGTGCATATCGTACTGAAAGATTTGGATATCGTTACATCCCTGGTGGAGAGGCCACCCTGCTCACAGTCAGAATGCTTAGGTAGTGATAGAATTGTTTAAAGTCATACTGTGGAACATTCCAGTCAGAGCAAAGACTTATCCATAGAAAGAAGCAGATGATGGATCCCCAACCAAAACATAATGCACCTTTTTAATATATCACACATCCAAATTTGTTATCGTGACAGGCCTAGTACTGTACTGTCAACTTCTCATTGCGTTCACTACATTACATTATACACCATGTTGCATTAATGTATGTTGTTGTCTTATACTTGTATACTATCTCTCTCCTGTCTTCTCTTCATCCCATCCGTGTGGGTGATTGTTCCTGCAAAACTATGGTGAACTATAGAGACATTTGGTACGCTTCAGAACAAAAGAGATGGTCAGATTAGCATTGTTGGCATTGCTGTGACATCTTGCTAGTGTGTCTGCCTTGTATCTCTTTTCTGCATGCCTTTTGATAATGCGTCCTTGTTTTTATCTCTATTCTCTCAATCTGGATATCTGCTGTCTGCTGTGTTGCCCATACATTGGTTTGTCTGCTTGTTTCTGGCTGTGTGTTCTCCTATAGGCTTCCCTGTTGTGATGTGTGATGCAGCTGGAGCTCTGGCCCAGCATCCGTGTAATAATAATAACAATAATAATAATAATAATACAAGTGTTGTGTTTGGTTTCAGACTAACAGCTCCAAATCAGAGTATCTTGGCCTGCATCACCTGTCTGCCTGTCTTCAATGTAGAGTGACCACCTGGAGAAATTTTGTGATTTTTAAATTGTAGAATGTGGGACTTAACCATGTAGTGATCATATTTCTTAAAAGCAACATTGAAAAAGAAAATGCACAAATTAAAGATGGTGTAACTGAGTTTTCCTGTCTCAAAATAATAAAAAACAAACAAAAAACAGTTCAAGAGTTTGCAGTGGTCCAAAGTAATTCCTCACTTACCTTCCTCATTATTCACCACAATGACTTAATAAGCGCTTTTCACAACTCTCCAGAGCAGAGTAGCTGTGATGATAAAGCTGACAACTAGCATGCTAATGTGTACTTCCTGACTATCTTTATAGTTAGGTGCAGACATCAAGTACAGGGCCTTTAATAATCATAATAAAGCCTTAGAGCAGACATGTCAAACTCAGGCCCAGGGGCCAAATTTGGCCCTCAATATAATTATATTTGGCCCCCGAGATCATATCAAATATGTATTAGAGCTGGCGGCCATCTACAGATAAACTATAGAGACATTATTTAATAAAAATTTTGTTATTATTTTATATTATACTTGTTCTGGATTCAATGTTTAAGCTAAACTATTATTAAACATTTATTTTAATAAGAAAAGGTTTAATATTACATATCTCCAAAGAAGAGAAAACATGCAGATGTTGTTGAAATTTTTCAATATTTAGTTTGGCCTACGACTTATTTCCAGTTTTTAATTTTGGCCTTCTGTGAATTTGAGTTTGACACCACTGCCTTAGAGTTATAATGTACTTTGCAGGATATATGAACTTTACTAACCATTATTCATTCCCTCCTACGACCACCATCAGTCAATCACTCATGACGCTGCCGCATTCATGGGTGAAGTGTCTTGCTTAAGGACACAATGACTGAACAGAAATGGATTCTCTCCTCCCAAACCGCTGAACCACTGTCTGTCTGACTAAACCTGAGACACACCTTAAAATGTTCAAAATGTGCAGCGCTTATCTCAATTAAACAATACAGGAATAAAAAAAATAACATGCTGTTATGTCTGAATCAGTTAGCAAGACGGTGTTAAGAAAACAAAAAGGTGTTCACGTAAATTGGCGTAAAATTTTGATAAGATAACATTCTATTAAAAAAAAAAAAAAAACTAAAGAAAAGGTACATATAATACGTATAAAAGGTACATTATAATTCTGGGTCTGAAAATATTGTATTGAAAGTTGATTTAGGCCTGTCACAATGATTACTATATTTGGGGTGGTCACTCTACTTGAATGTTGTTTTGTGTTTTGTCTTGTTTTCTGACCTTTTTTAGATTAGAATAATGCTACCGTCTGTATTATTTTAATGTATATCCAGATGAGAGTTGAATTTCCTGTCACCTTTCCTCTCCAGCATTGTTCAAACATCCCAAACTCTCCTTTTCCCAACTGACAGTCAGCAATTTGCAAATTTTCTCTCAAATTACAAACATTTTAGGATACTTCCCTTCCCTAAATGTGCTTTCTGTCTAATTGTAGTGAAAGAGTTTCTAGCCAAAGCCAAAGAAGACTTCTTACGCAAATGGGAATGCCCACCACAGGTAAGTAGTATCTGGGTTTCAGTCGTTCTTGAATTGTATCCCTGTTCTTTTTTGGGATCTACATTTCTCACAGTACATTGTTTACAAATTGAAAATAAGGATTACACATATAAAATTAATAATACTAATTGTGTAACTTTTCTGGTGGCGGGTCTGTCACTTGCCTTTTTCTTCTGAGAATTCATTGCTCTGCCTGGAATGATCCACAGTGTGACATTAAACAGCTGTTCTACTTTACATCTATTCAATTACAAGTGGTTTTATATCTCAAAAATACCTAGAAAAAGAGGCGTTCTGAGTGTGAGCAGGGTCGCCTCTCCACAGATCTGACTTGTAACTTGGTCAGGTTTGGTCTCCATGAAGATAGAAAGGTTTAATACTACACTGTGAAACATTCCAGACAAAGTAATAACACTTTCATGGAGAAAAAGCATTTAACTGACCCTCCACCAGAAAAGTTACGCAATGTACATTTGACGCTGTTTAATGTTTAATAATCATAAGCCTTATTCAAATTTATTCTTCTGTTCTTGTCTGATTTTAATGGGATTTCTAAAAAGTATGTAAACCCAGACCTTAGATTGGGGTGTAATTCAATTCATTTAGATCAGCAGGTCTATTTTTGTGTATAATGTTGCATACTGGGGCTTTAAAGAACAACCCATTTCCTAGCATGTTTAAAAATCAAAAACTCAAAGTAAATGAGTTGAATAAGTCAACATCATCAGCCTGTTTGTTTGTAAGGCCTGTCACGAATAAAAATTTAGAAGCACAATATATTGCAACAGTGAAATATTGCAGTATACGATAATATTGAAACTACTTTGTACAAATACAAAGCAAGAAATCCCCTATTTTTAAATATGTTATCATTTAAAGCCCTGAGCTGGAACAAATTAATCAGCAGGAAAATGACATAGAAGTTATTTAGTCAACTCTATACAGTTCAAATGTCATCATAATACAGAAAAGGCTCAAATTTTCCCATTATTGCAAAGAAATTAACCAAAATATTAACCAAAATACTGCATATTGTGCGTTGATATTGTATTGTATTGTGACAGGCCTTTTCACTTGTGCATTTTAAACTTGGTGAGTGACTCAAATTGAACTTTTATGGCCCATAATTGCCCTTTCACCTACCATTGGGGAACCACTGTTTAAAAATAGTGCATTACTTTTGTCAACAGTGTGATGTGTTGTATTGTCTCCACAGAGCACAACGTGCCTAGATGACTTTGACAGAATAAAAACCCTGGGCACCGGCTCCTTCGGAAGAGTCATGCTCGTCAAACACAAAGGAACAGAGCAATACTATGCCATGAAAATTTTGGACAAGCAGAAGGTCAGTGCCTACATTTGATTATCTAATACAGGCCTGTAATCAACTAAAGACATGTCCTGCCACTCAATCATTTGACTAAAAGGGGGTGTGGCAAAAGCTCTCAAATTGTTAACTAGCTATGTATCTGATCCAAATTGTACTCAGAAGATTACACCATCATGCAAAAACAACTATATAGGTAGAAAAAAGTACCACGAAACAATGTATTTTATATAAAGAATGATTAAGGATTACATTTGTGAATCATTTTTTAGTTTTAATCTGCCTTTTTACAATTAAATATCCAAAAATACAAAATCTTCAGATAACTCAGTCACTCACTAACTTCTTTTCTAATATCGTCGCATATACATCCTTGTAATCTAAATAAAATGGTTAGCCAAAAAGCCCTAATCCAATGCAGTGTTTTGTTTTGTTTTTAATATTGTAGAATTTATCTGAACTACAAAAACAAAGCAGATAAACAGACTGTTTGCCAGGTCAGCTCTAATCCTAATTCTGTAACAAAATTCCAGCATTGCAACAGGTAAATTAAGATTAAAAGATTAACCAAATGGAGCAACAGACGGTATAAACAAAAGTATAATAATTTGGCGAAACGGAAAAATATACAAATTATATCCTAGAGTTAAATAGAAACAGTGCATCACATATAGACCGTACTGTTTCGGGAACTACACTATAATTGCAGATTGAGGTGAAAATGATCTAGACTCACTTTGAAAACAAAATAAATATCTTTTGTTGGCAAGTCTGAGAATTGGACAACATAGTGGAATTGGGTTTGCACAATTTTGGAGAAAACTTATAATTGCAATGTCCTGTATTATTGCTATTAGATTTACAATATATGCTTAGAAAGTAGAATTCTGTTCAAAGTACGCACTGTAGACATCTTCAGGATACATTTGAGAGAAGGCTGAAATATGAACTGATGACTAATACAAGAATCCTATATATCTCTGGGCATGTTTGTACAGGTTTGAAATATTATAGGACATTTTATTATCTTGATATATGCAGCCTTTGCCATTTAATAATTTCACCACTTTAAAGGGCCATATTATGTGATTTTCTGTTAAAATGTTGGTTTCTCATCAAAACTATACCTGGAGTTGTTTTGTTTCATCCACACAAGTTTAACACACAAATCTTTCTCTCAAATGGAAAATACTATGTTCCACCAGTGCTCCACTAGAATCATTTAGATAATTTCAGACCAGGAATTGCCAGTCTGTACTAAACAAAGCACTTTGATCTTTGGAGATGTAGACAGACTAATGAACCAAGGTTACTCAAACATGTGTGGGGGGAAAAAAAAACACACATCTCCAGGTATGTTTTTGAGGAGGTAATATCATTAGAATGTGTCTTAAAGCTCACAAGAATAAATTGTGTGTAATATAGGACCTTTAAATTGCTATTTCAATTTTATTGCAATATACTGAGCAGTGTTGGTGGGATAGTTTGTTAAAACGGTAACTCACAAGGAATTTCTGAGTGAATTTGAACATGTAGTTTAAAAATTGCCATCTGTTTGTAGTATAGAGTTGAATAAATGTCAGAGTTTTTAGTTGTAACTCAGAGATGACCTACTCCTCTCCCAGGGCTGCATTTTCCATTGTGCTGTTGGGCCATCACACTTTGAGGTCATGTTCTCTTGTTCTGTCAGGTGGTGAAACTCAAGCAAATAGAACACACGCTAAATGAGAAGAGGATATTACAGGCCGTGAGCTTCCCCTTTCTTGTCAAACTCGAGTATGCCTTTAAGGTAAGATTGTCTTCTTAGAAAAAGTAGAAATATGCCACAATTCATTTTCTAAGTACTGTGTTCTAAGAGGTCATTTCTTTTTTAGGACAACTCCAACTTGTACATGGTGATGGAGTACGTTCCTGGTGGGGAGATGTTTTCACATCTAAGACGAATTGGCAGGTTTAGGTATGGAAAAACAATGAATAGTCATTGCTTTCTGGCGTGGGGTTCGCCACCTGCTTGTGCGCATTGAGATAATATTGCTTTGCCTGAAATATTCCACTGTAGAACTACAGGTCGTTTTATTGCCACATGCCTCTTTTCCGCTGGTTTACTTTCCATTCTCTAGACACAGCTCCAGGTTCAGGGGCAGGGCTTTGCTACGTGAGCAACTCACATCACCCAAACAGAACACATGTTTTCCTTTTAAATAAAATGTTAGTCTCAGATCCTAACCACACCAGACCCCTTGGAACCTCTGTAAAGATTACTTTAAGCAGTAGGAACACACTGTATCCACCCTGTACCACTCCTATGGAAATGAGTCTATAGAGTATTGTCACCTCTACACAGATCAGACCTAGTGACGTCACCTTCTTGTCTCCACCAGTTACAGGTCAGGTCTGTGAAGAGGTGACCCGCTCACACCAAGAGTGGATGTTTTTAAAGGTATTTTTGGGCAATAAAATGACCTTAAGCGGGAACAGGAGTGTCAAACCCAAATTCACAGAGGGCCAAAATTAAAAACTGGGACTAAATCGTGGGCCAAACTAAATATTTATTGAAAAATTTCAACAACATCTGCATGTTTTCTCACATTTTGAGATAAGTAATGTTAAACCTTTTCTTATTAGAATAAATGTTTAATAAAGGTTTTGCTTAAACATTGAATCCAGAACAAGCATAATATTAAATAATAACAAAGTTTTAAATAAATAATGTCTCTATATCCTATCATTAGCCAGCGGACCATCTCTAATACATATTTGATATGATCTCATGGGCTAAATATAATTATATCGCAGGCCAAATTTGGCCCCCAGGCCTGAGCTTGACATATCTGTGCTGGAACATTCCATTCAAAGTGTCATCTCCATGGACACAAGTGGCAGACCCTTTACCAGAAAACTTACATAATGCACTTTTTAATACTGGACATGCTTTTTCAAAATTTCTTTCATTTTTACAGTGAACCACATGCAAGGTTTTATGCTGCCCAGATAGTGCTGACATTTGAGTACCTCCATTCACTAGATCTCATATACAGAGATCTGAAACCTGAGAATCTCCTCATTGACCACCATGGCTACATTCAGGTGAGAAAATCATATCATTTGATTATTATAAAAGTTCAACTCTCAAAAATGTTCAATATGAAATGTGCTTGTTTGTGCAGGTGACAGACTTTGGCTTTGCCAAGAGGGTAAAAGGTCGGACCTGGACGTTGTGTGGGACACCGGAGTACCTCGCACCAGAAATCATCCTCAGCAAAGTATGGATATAGAATTACTGCCATAGAATACAGTGTCTATTTCCTGCATGTCACTTTGAATGTTACTGTCATTGCAGTACTTAAGTTGAAAATAGAGTTGTGGATTTAATCTTTTTTTATTATTATCATGATTGAGATTCAGTCATTTCAAATTGTCAGTGATCAACTTGGACTTTTTTAACTGACAGATCCATAGTCAGTTTCTTTGTCAGTAAAAGTAAAATTATGTTGTGAAGCAGAGTTCAGATGTTTTGAGGTGGTAATTTGCCTTTTTGGAGGGTTAAATTGCAATGATATACAAGTCTGTATTGTTTATGCTATAGAAATTAATATTAAAAGAAGTTTAGATTTTTTTTATTAAAAACTAAAATCCTCAAAATTTGAGACTGATCAATTTGAGGAAAAATGTATTTATTTATTTTTTACTTTTGCTCAATCTTAGTTGAAGGTTTTGTATCAAATGACAATGAATAGAGAAAACATGCTCAAAATTAGATGACATTTAAATTCTATAACCATACATTTGAAAGAACTGGACTTATTTACCATTATTTCCAGGTACAATCTTTATTAAATGGCATACATTAGCAACATATTTTGAATTGCAAAAATGGAAAGTATATAATATATTTTTGTAATCTTTTGTCTTATAGAATAGGACATACATTTTTTCTGAGCCCCTGCGTGGAGTATATAGAGCCTAAATAAACCATTGTAAAATAGTTGTAAACATGTACTTCTTTTTGCAGGGCTACAACAAAGCTGTAGACTGGTGGGCCCTGGGAGTCCTCATCTATGAAATGGCAGCAGGCTATCCTCCATTTTTTGCAGATCAGCCCATTCAGATCTATGAGAAAATTGTGTCCGGAAAGGTATTTTAAAGCATTCATTCGCGCTCCGTTTGTATCAAAAACTCTGAACCTCAATTGTGATGACTATTATTTATTTATTTATTTTTGTGTGTAGGTACGGTTCCCCTCTCACTTCAGCTCAGACTTGAAGGATCTCCTGAGAAACCTACTGCAGGTCGATCTCACCAAACGCTATGGCAACCTGAAAAATGGAGTCAGCGACATCAAAGGACACAAATGGTTCGCCACAACGGACTGGATCGCCATCTACGAACGAAAGGCAAGAACACTCCCTACACTGTTGCCCCTGTAAAAACAAAGTTAATTAGATATTGATTTATAGATTTTGAACTAGTTGCATAAAGTGATTTCCTTACTGTGATGCTGCAAAAGAGTTCAAATATACATGAATATGACAAAGTTATCTTAATGTTTTATGGTTATCTATGGTGATTATGTTCTTGTGAATAGGGAACAGGGAGAGTTTTGTTTGCTTATGAGCCTAGCGATTTCACGCTGCAGTCATGGTGCCAGTGAGCGTAGTGTGGATCTGGGTGACTTCCAAATGACAAGAACCACCATGTATTTGCCCTGGAAGACTCATAATGGGCGGCTTTGATTAATCGAAATAGTTGTCGTTATGCCGGATTACACTCATTGACCTTGTCATCAGATTAAATTAGATGTTGGCAAGCTTCCTGTGTGTTTTTTGTTGATGCTTTTTAGAGATGTTGTGATGTTTAGTCACTGCTTTAAAGGTACACTATATAACATTTCTTCACCTTGCTTGTCTCCATGGCGATGTTACAGGCCAATTTACACCCCGTATTTGTGGATAGGTGATCCTGCTCAGAGTAATGATACATGGTTTTCAAAGTATTTTGGAACAATAAAAACGGCAAGTTAAGTTAAAGTTTAAATGCCATTTTGTGGAACATTCAATGCAAAACGAGAACATTTCCATGCAAACGTTTGAGTAGCGGATCTTCCACCAGAAAAGTTATAGTGCACCATTAGTGTGTGGCATTAATCGTTTAGTTGATTATTTAGTTGATGGTGCCTAAATTGACCAAAATGTGAATCAGTTGACTCATTATTTAATTTTGAATTATATGCACAACAAAGGAGAAGTGGATTATTTTAAAACATTGATGAATGGATATTTAAAAGAAATATTAAATCTTTAGCTAGCCAGCTTGTTCACTAAATTCTCCTTTCTGCTATTGTCCCATATAATCTAAATAAACTAATGAGTTGCCTTATACAAATTTTGGTCGACTCAAACACCATCCAAGGATTATTTAACTAAACGACTAAAGGCCTAGTTGTTGGACATAATATTTGTCTGTCTAACGGATTTTTTTGTTTGGCTTCAAGATATTTATCCTCATTTCAAACTCACTTTTCTGTTTGTGGAGTGGGTAGGCTAAATGGAGTGTGTCATCATCAATAAGAGAAGCTAGTAAATCTAATATCTATGCCTCATTTATTTAGTTTTGCTCTCAGCTTGTCCCATATTTTTCTTGTGTTATCATTGACCTCAGAATAAGCCTAAACACTGTTTGATAAATACAGTAAATGAGGGATGTGTAGATGTAACACCTTGCACATCATAGTGGGTCAACTTTTGTTATGTGTTCGGTTCCATTCAGATCAATAGATTTTCAGAGAAGGAATGCTACTTTGACTTTTTACAATATTTCTACGATCTAAAGTTGTATTTGTTTCGTGACTGCCTGTGTGACAAGTCTTTTGTACTCTGGGGATGGTTTACTACTACTACTACTACTACCACCACTACTGCTACCACTATGCCCAACCCCTTTTGACATCTTTGAGCCATAGACCACAAAATGCCTATATCACATCTACTTATAAGATTATCGGATTATGCTACTGTAGATTGTAACTAAGAAGTTTCGAAAAATAAGTCAAGCCAAAAAGTAGTTTTATTGTCTGATAATTAGGAAGTAAATGCTTATCCTGCTAGTTGTTATTGCTTTACCATGACGGTAAACTCAAACCATTGCATATGATTTAAAATGAACTAGTTCTGTTTTACACATTTTAAGACCGTAAAAATCAGGTACAGTGTCTATAAATATCTGTTTAGCAGCTTTTTAATATACATATTTACATTTTGTCTTGTCAAGGTGGAAGCCCCATTCATACCAAAGTGCAGAGGTCCAGGGGACACCAGCAACTTCGACGACTATGAAGAGGAGGAGATCCGCGTGTCTGTAACGGAAAAATGCGCCAAGGAGTTTGCAGAGTTTTAGAATGAGTGACCGTGGATATATCAGGGAAATAAGGGGATCTTTGCACTCTTCAAAAAGACTTTGGGATGGAGCAGAGACCATTGGTTTTCTTCTTTTCAGATCTACAACATAGTCCTTCATTCCATACAGCTCTACATGATCCTCTGGTGCCGATAATCTTCACTGTCACCTGCACCTGCTTTAACGGCAGACACACCACTTTTACTTTTTTACCTTCACTGTTTTTTACTTTCAAGCAGTTAGTCTTGGATGTTGTATACCCCTTTTGAAATGTGAGATTTTTTTTCAGTTTGAGAAAAAAACTGAGACAAAGGCCAATGATAGCCCATGCACAGAAAATGAAGTTGTGTGGAGGTTTGATATGCAGGTTTGAATCTATGTCAGGTGGTCTGTTACAATGGCCCGCTTTCAGAGCTAGTATTGTCCTATGTGCATATCATGTCAGTTGTGTAAAACATTATTGAACACATTCAGTGTTTTTTGAAATCATGACCAAATCTAGTTCATCGGAAGACACCAGAAGAGAGGTTTTGTTCCTTTCTTTGCTTTTGCCTTAGAGAGCCCAACGGTCAGATCCAAAGAAGCCATCTGTCTTCTTGGTGTTTGGACCTAGGCACAGCAAGCCATTATAGTCAATGACAAACTCTGTTACATCAGTTAAAAAAAACACATGAAGTCTATTTTTTTGATCCTTCTGGGTCTGCTAGTTAAAATGCTCATGTTTGTATCTATTTTTTGTTGCTGTGACTAACCTTAAATAGGCTAGTAGTAGAGCTGCACTGTATCTGGAGCACATGGTCATATTCAGTATCATTAAAGATTGCGATTATAAAAGTCTAGTTTTATAATATCTAACAGTTTTTTTGCTAAGTTATTAAGCTGTAGGTTTGGTGTATAAACCTTCAAACAGCAAGTAGCCTATGCCACATCAGCCACGGGCAGGCAGTGTAGCAAATATAAAGAGTTCAGTGCATCTTCAATGGTATGAATATGAAGACATGTCTGTAATGGTACAGTGCAGCTCTACTTTGTCATATTGGTCCAGTATTTCAGGTCTGCTTCTGAAGACCGTTGTTACATTTGGAACCATATTGACTCAGTGGAAAAGAATGAAATCCCTTTATTGGAGTAATGTAAAGTAAATGTTTTGGCTTTGTGCCTGGACATTGTTAAAGAAACTTTAAAAAGTAAGGCAGAGTTTATAATATAATTAAAGATGTGAAAAAAAATTAAATAAATGGGAAGAAAAATATTTATGATGTCCCTTTTTATCACCCACCAACAGATTTTATTCTCATCTAAAGAATGTTGACCTTAAGGTATTCATGTTTGAAGGCTTGGTTTTATTCCACACTTTTCCGTACCATACACTGGCTGAATAAAGTGAGGACTACTCCTTTGTATCACATGTAACCCTGTCATTGTTAAGCTCATTACATTATACGTATAAGCATTGTTTCATATGTTTTTATTTATACACATTAGAGATGCTAATAAATTTTATTTTTAAAAGTGTTTAATTATGTCTATGTTGTGGATTGGGAGGGTTAAAACAAAATGAAAAACTATTAAAATAATTCTGCTAAATGTTTGCATAGCCTATAAAAGAATTGTCTCAAACTGTTAAGCTTAAAAAAAAAAAAAAAAAAAAAAAAAAGATTATAAATCTTCAGGGGGTGTGAGCCTGGCTGTGTTCCGAACGGACTTCTGGGTAATGTAGTTTAGCAGCCCACGTGGGAGTTTGGAAACATGGCGGGTCTGGAGCTGCTGTCGGACCAGGGATACCGTTTGGATGGAAGAAAAGCCAACGAGCTGCGGAAAGTTCAGGCCCGGATGGGAGTGTTCGCTCAGGCGGACGGTTCGGCTTATATAGAGCAGGGCAACACCAAAGCTCTGGCTGTTGTTTACGGTCCACATGAAGTAAGTAGCACCAAGTTAGCTTAGCCGCACAAGCTACTTCCTACGTCTATTACTGCTTATGCACCAAAGAAATGTCAGAAAAAGTTTAGTTTTGTTTTCATCAATTGCATGTTTTAAGTCATGTAAAGACTATGCAGGTCTCAAATAAATTTTAAATATTGTTCGAATGTAAAATGTGTAAGTAGAGGCGTGTCTTTGACTACTTGAGTAGAAGTACAACTAAAGCTACAACTGGTGCAAAATTACTCAATACAAGTAAAAGTTGCTCAGTCAAATTACTTCAAGTACTCAAGTATTATAATAATATAAAGAGACATATTTGGTTACAATGGGTACGCTGGAAATAGGATCACTGAGCTTGTATTGTGCATCTTTAAAGAAGAGTACGCCAGCTCGGAGTTTGTTAAAACTGCAGGTTCTGTTATGGCATCATTACACTTGCACATTATATACTTTCTATACTATTGCTGCTGTTAGAGCTACACATAAAGATGTGAAACAAACTGCATGATACAATCTATGACATTTCCTGCTTTTTCTTATATCCCAGATGAGAGGATCCCGCAGTCGTACTCTTCATGATCGTGCTGTTATAAACTGTCAGTACAGCATGGCAACATTCAGCACAGCAGAGAGAAAAAGAAGACCTCACGGAGACAAGAAGTCCACAGAGATGAGCCTCCATCTGAAACAGACCTTTTGAAGCAGCGATCCTGACCCAGCTCTACCCACGCTCACAGATAGACATCTTTGTCAAGGTCAGACATGGGGTAGTCCTGCACTCTTAGAGTGACCACCTCAAAAATCATAAAAGTGGGATAGGTCATGGATTTGGTTGGGCTTGGTGGGTCAAACGTGACCTTACCTAGAATAACATGCAAGCTTAAAGTCTACAGTGTATACTGTCTTTTAATATATAGTTTATATAGTCCTGTAGTCCTACAATAAGCAGGACAAACAGATTTCCATTCCTGAGATTTATTCCTGCCATTTATGTTAGCTGTAAAACATAACATTTTAATACTTATGGGTGACTGGTAATATTCTTAAATCAGACACACCAGACACATTATCTCATCTCTTGTACAGTGTATGCAAGTTACAGATTGCGTCGTAATAGAGTTAAATAAACTAAAGGTGGAAGAGCATAATTTTAAACTTGTTTCTCTTTCTCCAGATCCTGCAGGCAGATGGGGGAAACTACAGCGTATGTGTAAATGCTGCGACTTTGGCAGTGATTGATGCAGGGATCCCAATGAGGGACTATGTTTGTGCTTGCACTGTGGGTTTTGTGGACGAGACACCGCTGGCCGACCTTTGCTACACAGAAGAGAACGGAGGGATCAGCTCACTGGCCTTGGCACTGCTGCCCCGTGGTGGGCAAATCGCACTACTCCAGATGGACGCCAGATTACATCAAGATCATCTGGAAACCATGATCGAGGCTGCAATGACAGCCTGTAAAGGTGTGAGCAAGGTGCTGGATGAGGTGGTGCGACAACATCTGCAAGAGGCCTCAGCGCTCAGTAGAGACTGAAGGGCTACAGCTGTCAGGAGAATGTGGACTTCATCTGAACGACAACACAGACTGCTCACTTATGCCACATCACTTATCAAAACGGATGGGAAAAAAAATAAAAAATTTAACTGGACATACAGTGAGGTTTAAGAGTGTAAATATGTCAGTGCATTCATGTCATTATAGTTTGTTTTTTAATAAATGTGACTAGACCAAGTATTTTTATTGCTGTGAAATAATTTTAAATAGTTCACATAAGAACATAGTTTAATTGATCAATATTTTTATTCAATGGAATCAATCTGAAAAGATAAAGTAAATAGTAAAATCGTATTTTATAAAAATACATGGATCACAACCATATCATAACTAAATAAAAACATGACAAGCAGGTGTATATTTTTATTGAAAACTTCCCCACATAGCAAAACCTCAAGTTGTTGTGACTGAGTTTTTCCCCTTCGTTTAGTTTTATTGAGATACAAATCATAAACCCAAACCCCAAACGTGTCCATTTAGTTCTACTGACCGGTATAATCTACTCTTTAGAATAACACCTGAACAATGTGATTGTCATATTGCATTATTGAACCTTGCCATGAAATATCTAACAGGTAAATGCACAAATGCTGAACCTAATAATTTTACTGACTAAGAGAACTCACTGTATTACAACAAACATCTGCAGTTTACCAGGACACAACGAGGGGTCCCGAGTCCCTCCAAGAGCCACTAGAGCCCAGTCCAGAAGCTCTTGTCTCCCTCTGGTTTTCCTCTTTGTAGCGACACAGTTCCTCCTCAGACTCCGCTATCCTCGTTTCAGACAGCCCAAATACCTCTTCAGCAGCCGCAGTGAGACGCTAATTCACCAAAACTCTCAGCGTTTGGTTTCGAGACATTTTTACAATACTGTTGTTTTCTTGCGGTCCCATGTTGCGGTCTGTGGAGAATTCATTTCCCGTCCGTCGGATTTTCTGCCCCCCGGAAACAAGGAAGTAGCAGTGCAGCAGTCCTAGCAGCATCTGGCTCAGGAAAAATCTTTTATCTTTTATAGCTGGATGTCACCCCCTGTAAGGTGTAAATAGGTATGTCGTCATTTATATTTCAATCCAATTAATAATTTAAGCGATAAATAATGACTCTTAGAAACAGTATAATGTTTTAAAGCGTAATTGATGCCGATGGCTGCAGTGAGACAGTGTGTAAATGAATGGTGGCACAATGTTTTTTACACTGTAGAGCAATAGTACTAAAATCACACTTGGATTGGCAAGATTTATGACACACTGTGTATATTTTAAGACAGCACATTGGAAGTAAATATTGTGCAATGCTGATTTTATTTGTATTTTGTATACCAGACACAATATGGGGCTCCTGTCTGACCCAAACAGGAGAAGGGCTTTGATCACTCTTCTCACCCGCCTCAATGCTCCTATATGGTAGGTCCCCAATAGTTACAATATGCTACAACATGCGCATACAACATTCACTGACTCTGATTCTCTGTCACTGTCTCCAGTGTGGTCTGCTACATGGCGGGTGTGGCCTGGTTCATGGGGCTTGCCTTTGAGCCCTTCACTCTACGGACGTACATGTCAGAGAACGCCATGGGCTCCACTATGGTAGAGGAGCGTTTCCCGGCTGGAGAGAGAGCTCTGGCCACAGGCAGGGAGTTTGCAGCACACAAGAGGAAAGCTGGGTGAGGAAAGAACATTTGATTATATTATATTGTACAACTCTTTCCAACATTTTTGTGAGATCAGTTCAGAATTCAGTGATGCTGAATGATAAGGCATTGTAACTGTATTTATCCCTTTGCTATAACTAGAACTAATCCATTTAATCCATCCAACCCAAAACATGCTACATACGTCTACAGGAAGAACAGCTGATAGGCAAGGTCAGTTAAATACAATCAACCAATGAACCTACCCAGGGACTACAGGTGGAAATTAGCACTAGTGCTACAACCTGGTACAATGCATCTCTCCTGTTAAGGTTATGTAAAAAAATGTGCATTGTCCCTGTCTCAAAATTAAAAAAAATCTCAGAATCTACTTACACAGACTGAACAATATTCTATTTATTTTACCGGATAAGTAATTATTATTTTTCATATTTTTTTTGGAAAAAATGTCTCATTCTAGTTGATAAATGTTCTATGTGTGTCCTAATTTGTCATTTTCAGTGGTATGCCAGTGGATTGGCTGGTGAAGACGATGCAGGCTCGTGGGCTAGAAGTTTATACCCAAAGATTCTCTCGCACCCTTCCTTTCCCTGATGAAAACAAGGAGAGATATGTGAGTTCATGTAACAGCTGTGTCCTGTATACACAAAAGACAAAATTAATACTTAATTATAAATATGAATTTAACTTTTGAATGCAGATGGTGAAAGGCACAAACGTGTATGGAATCCTTCGAGCCCCCAGAGCTCCACGGACAGAAGCCCTGGTGCTGAGTGCTCCGTGCAGTCCAGGAGATGACAACAACCAGGCTGTGGGGCTGCTGCTTGGACTGGCACAATACTTTAGAAGTAAGTAATGTACAAAAAGCACAGTGGTATGATAATGCAAAGTTGGTAACAATACCTTCAATAATATTTTGTAATTGTGCAGCATCTATTCCATATCTTCTTACAAATTAATATATCTTTTACAATTAAATTGGCACAAAACCAGGACAAATCTGGGACTAAACGTAAAACTAAACATAGACTAGACCAGAACTGAACACTAGAACATAACCAAACCAAGTCCACATCAGGACAAAAATGGGCGATTAGTGACTAAATAACAACAATTGTAAAAACATCCATAAAAGAACTTGTATTGTGCATTTTGCTTATCCACCACAAGATGCTCCTTTATAGTTGAAAAACACACTAAAAGTAAATAATTCTTTTAGATTCAGCAAGTTACCAAACCTACACTAATTATCATGTCCATATTTAAATGCTAAGTTCTTTATGTATAACTAATGTGATTACTGTTTATCATGACACAGATCAAATTTACTGGGCTAAGGACATCATATTCTTGGTGAATGAGCATGATCTGATTGGCATGCAGGCTTGGCTGGAAGGCTACCACCACACCAACACAACCGGTATGCAATTTATAAATACTTCATACTTTATATATTATTTACGATGTATATGCCAGACTCTGAAAGATGTTTATATTTAACCGCAATATAAAATTACCTGCTTCTTTTAGGCATGGATTGGTCTCCTCTGCAGGGTCGTGGAGGTTCAATCCAAGCGGCCTTGTCTATAGAACTAAACAGTGACGTTGTGACCAGTTTAGATCTTGTTTTGGAGGGCCTGAATGGGCAGCTTCCCAACCTAGACTTGGCAAATCTTTTCTATGCATTTTGCCAGAAGATTGGAGTCCTCTGCACCATTCAAGGAAAGGTAGCATAACCACATCATCAGTTTTAAAGTGCATATGGCAGGTTTTCATGTTTTTCAAATTATGACTTGGTTTGTTGGGATAGGTCTTGTTGTAAATATTTTTCATTATTTTAAGTGGCAGTTTGCAGAAAGCAAAAAGCTAAAAAGAACGGTATATAAATACAAGAAGCATTGTTGAGTTTTAATATGAATACCTCTATCTTTGTCATCAACAACCAAGAAGTCATCCAAAATTCAGGGACAATTTACACGGAAGGAAGACATTTTTCTTAAACTTTCATTTAACAAAATAAAGATGCTGTCATTTGCTTTTATTTGTCTAACCATAACTATTGTGTTATTTCGATGAATTTTGGTTCTTAAGTTGTGGTTGCTAGTTAACAGTTATGAAATTACTGTCATCTGCTGCCCATGTCCAACCAGGAAGTAAAAATAGAAATTTCACTAAAACAACAATAGAACAACAATAGGAAACTAGATAAATAGTTAAATAAAATTATACAAACTATGATTCACTGAAACTAGTACTCTAACTTGCCATATCCACTGGGTTCTAAAAGTGTTATTAGAAGTCCATTGTATATAGTAATATATATGTATTTTTTATGTGTATTTAGTTACAGAGGAACGATTGGGACAGTGTTTCGGGCTATAGTCATGCTGTCCAAACGATGATGCTGATGGTGATGAAGCAGGCCAGCGGTCGGCCGTGGGGAGATCACGGCCTGTTTCTGCGCTACCACATTGAAGCAGCCACCATCAAAGGAATCAACAGCTTCAGACAATACAAGACTGACGCTACCACTATTGGCAGGTCAGTGTACATTTATATAAATACATTTGGAAAGGAGATGTGTTAAATAATCAGAAGCTAATTTTTAAACAATGAACAAAAATATACAAGAAAAATCTGTCAGTTCATCAGAGATGTTATTGCATTCTGTGTATTGTTCGAAAGTATAACCTTAAACTAATCTATCACCATGGTAACACCACTAGACCAAGTTACAGATCAGATTTGTGAAGAGATAATACTGTTAGATAGAGATAGAGAAAGTTGCAACTACATGCTGGGTCCAAGTACGAAAATTGTACAAAAGGAAAAAGAAAACGTCACCTTGTGGTGTCATTAAAATACAAAGCTCTAAAGAACTGCAGTGCGGATCAGTTTTTTTTTCTTTTGCACAGATCTGTGAGGCAACACTGTTCACTGTGAGAACATATATATTTTTAAAACAATAAAAACACCCAAGTATTCAATAAGTTTAATACCATATTGTAGAGGATCCCAGGCAGCATCTCCATGGAAGCAAGTACATGGCTGACCCTTCTCCAGAAAAGATTACATAGGGCACCTTTTAATACTGTTTTCTTTCGTGTATCTTTTAGACTCCTTGAAGGGATGTACCGTAAGCTGAACAATCTCCTGGAGCGTCTTCACCAGTCCTACTTCTTCTACCTCATGCCTTCACTGTCACATTTTGTCTCCATCGGATACTACATGCCTGCCTTTGGTCTGTTGGCCGCCATCCTCTTCATGCGTGTATCCTTTAAACTGGTTCAATCAAAATACATGAATGTGAATAGAACAACATGCAGTTGTAGCAGGAATAGTAAACAATAGTAAAGGTATAGCTATGTTTTAATTAAAGGGAGCAAATACATTTTTACAACAGTATTTTGTTTTTAAACCACTATATGCACATCAATAGTATAATACTGTAGTGCTGACACCTCTTAATTTTGTGAAAAGTTCCCAAAACATGTTCCTGACAATATATATTTACAGCAGCCAGCCAATATTTCTAAATTTGGTTACTGCCCTTAACAATGAAATAGGCCTTAGATCTTTGGGTTCAACTGACAGCTCCACCACCACCAGAAGATGGAGTTGCTCCCATTAAACAAGTCAGCAACATTTCCTTTGTATTTAATAAACATATTTATACTTGTTTTTAACATATGACAATAACCATTGTTTTGCTTTGTACAGTCCAGTATGGGGGTCCTGTCAGTGCTGACCCCTCTGGTGATCAGTCATGTGACCGGAGCAGCTCTGTATGCACTCCCCATCCACTTCCAGGAGGTGGCAGTAGAACACTTCCCTGTGTCTGAGACTGAGGCTGTGGTGCTGACGGCTATTGCAGTGTACACAGCTGGCCTGGCACTACCACACAACACACACAGGTACAAAACTATTAGTAATTTGTGTTCAAATAGAAGGTATTTCGTCTCCCATGAATTTCTTAATTTTAAATTATTTAGTTTTGACCCAAGTAGGATTTATTGAGACAATGAAGAATAGAAAAATATTCGGCAAACAGCATATATGTGGTACCACTGAGTCATATGGCAGCGTATTTTTTACAATTTACAATTTCAGTTCTATTATTAGTAGCCTCATTATGTCTCTATAGCACCTCAGGCCTTAGGAGATAAAATATGTGCAATCAGCTGATCACTGGGACATGCTCCAGTGTGTCGTCTGTAGAGAGTTAGTCAGAGAGTCAGTCAGTAAGTAACTTTTCTGTTAAAACAGAAATGTTTTTCTAATAAAATCAAAAACTTTTTTTTTTATTCAAGTGAATGCAATGTACTGCCGTAAATCACAACTCTGGATGGTATGATTGCAGTTTCATTCATAAACTTGATAGAAATCTCATAAAATTTCATAGTAAATTATACTTTTTGTTTATGCCCTTACAGTTCACTGACAAGGTCTGTATTGTGAATGTGTATTTGAATGGAGGTGAATTTAATAATGACAAAATACAAATATGCATTTCTGGTGTTTATGCATGTCTGTAATATCTCCAGAATGTCATTTTTGGGACAGTAACTTTTTTGAGTAACTGCCTGCATCGTTTACTTTGTCAGCACTGAGTTATGGTGTGGTTTTCATTTTTAAACATTAGCATAAACATTAGCAAGTCCACCCAGCTTTGTTGTATTTAGGGCTGGGCATCGAAAGATTCACTTGTATCAAAACCTCAGTGTTGATATTCATTAAATCATTTCAGATATTTTTAGGTTGTTATTTTTAAAGAAACTATTTAACTGAATCAAAAATCCAGATCAATCAATGTTAGGAAAATGGAAGAATTCTTATTTTTGCTTTATCACTGTTATGCTGTTTGAACTTTTAACATATCTGGCTGTTACTGTTTAAAGCTTACTTATTGCATCCAAACCTCTGTTGCGTTCCAAATAGCAGGACCCCCCTAACCACATGTCTGGGTATGTCTGGTGTTGTCTGGTTGTGTGTTACAGGCTGCTGTCAGGAGAAGGCACGGAGCAGGGCTGGAGGGTGCTGAAGCTCGTGGCAGTGCTGTATCTGGCCGTGCTGTTGGGCTGCACCGCTCTTATTAACTTCTCTCTGGGCTTCATCCTGGCTCTCACTCTAGTGCCCATTGCAGCCTTCGTCACACCGCATGTCCCCAAGTAAGAAATGAATGCATAACTATGAGCATATCCTTTCAGAATTAGTTTTTTGCTTTAGTTTCATTTAAAGCAGCTCCCATCAGACACCACATTTTTTTCCTGTTACCCTGAAAAATATGCACCCTATGTGATTGGGGTTGTCTCTCCACAAATCTGACCTATATTTGACCACAGGGATGCTGGAATGCTGATGAACATACATAAATACAATTTCATGACTGTAAAAAAGTGAGAAAAATTTAAGTGATTTGAGAAAAGTTAATTATTTTGTTTATCTTCTCCTAGGGTGCTGTCAGCTTTCATCTTGGTGCTCCTGAGTCCGGCCTGCACCTTGCTCTTCTCCGTCTTCTTCTTCCAGGAGTTGCAGGAGATGCCCGTGAGCTTCCAGGAGGGTTGGATGCTTTTCCTGTCCGTCATATCTCAGGGAATTCTGGACCACTCCCTGTACGGATCTCTGGTTTACCCCCTCATCTCCCTGCTCGTCTACCCATGCTGGCTGCTTTTCTGGAACATCCTTTTCTGGAACTAGAGCCTACAATGATGAGAGTTGAATTTGATAAGAACTTATTTGCAGGCCATTAAGACTTTAAATGACCTTTGACCCAAGGAATAGGATGAGGGAGTGTGCTGTGTACGCATCTGTTGATTCAAGAGTGTAGCTCCCTCTACTGATCATCAGGTCTCTGGGAATGTAGGGAACTTTTTGTTTTAAAGACTCACTCTAAGAAATTACAGGAATACAGTATAGCAATTGAAAACTCAGCTGGACAAAAGTTTTAGAGTGAAGATGTTTGCTACTCAGCCAAGCAGCTTCTTCTGTTCTGGTCATGTACTACTGGGACATCTCTGTAGGAGGAGGATTTGTTTACAGTTTTCACTTGGTCTATTGAACTACAATAAGTATGAAATGTCTGCAAAAAATCTTTACTTCACAAAACTTTTGTCCACTTGATAGAATTGAATTTTCTTTTGTTATGAAACCTACCTGAACAACTGAGGGATTACACAGGAATAAAGTCTATGTTTTTAAGGGGTTCTATGTTGTATTTGCAGCTAAACACTGTATATTTATTGAAATGATTAATTTTTTATTAGGTTTTCAGCATAAAATCGAAACACAAATCTAAAATATTTTTCAGCAAAAATTAAAAACTTCAGATGAAATCGTTAAAAGCAGACAGTATTTAGTAAACCTATAGTATCTGCAGTTGGAATAGTTTGCTATTCTTTCACATTCTGTTAATAATCAAATTAAATAAACAATAAATTGTGAAATCTTACTTTAAAAAACTAGAACACTGATAAATAATGGTAAATCAGTAACACAGAAACAGAAATGACTAAATTACACTATACTTGCAAATGTTACAATTGTTTTTTGCCTTTATAAAATTTTAATGTTCTTTTTGCACTGTTTTTTGTTCTGTATGTTATGGGAGGTGGCTTGTGTCTGAGCCATCATGACAAAGGGTACTAGATTTGACTGCCTTTTACATGTTTTTTTATTTATACTGTTGAAATAAAATGTGAAATAAATGTGTTATTTTGTTGAAAAAATACCACTAATAACTATTTATTTAGATTACTAATAGTCAAAAGTATTGATAATCAGAGACTAATCAATACAAAATCTAGTATCAAAACTAAATACTAATTTGAAGTATAAAAAAAAGTTACATTCACAGGACAGAAATGACCCTTTCCTGAATAGCTTTAGTATCTTTTATAATTACCATGGTATCGGAATCGGTATTGACTATAGAGCCTATTTCTTAGTATCGAAATCAACTTTGAAATGTAAATATCATGACAACACCCAACATAAAAAAAGAGAAAGAAATTGACTATAGCAGTCATAGTTGAATTGTGTTTATTCAGCTAAAATTGTACAGCATTATGTACTCAAGCAGATCCTTCCAGACAGAATCAAGTAAATTAGATGAACAATGAAAATGTACATCCTTTGCACAATCTCAGATAAAAATAATACACTTAATACAATGTTATAAAAATTAAAAGCACTTGACAAACCCTGTAAACACAACATATCTCCTCACCCTCTCTCCCCATTCACTTCCAGTAGGGTTAAATGGCACCAGCTGCAGTTAAAACAGTTTGGTACAAGGCTTATTTTTTCACTTAATCATTACCATCTCGTATCACAAAATGTCCCACGAAATCTCCAACTCCAAAAGACCACGCATTAGAACCCCCTTTAAAATAAATAGAAAGCAGTCTGTGTTTTGTCTCCATAGCACAACAAGCCTAAAATAAATAGTCTTGCTAAAATTGGGGTGGCTGCCTTGACTATGTGATGTGGCTATGAACTCTGCAGGTTACATGCTACAGTGTCCCACAGACCCTCAGTGCACGTCCCATTAACTATAGGCAGGCTGCGTTCACTATGGCGCAAAACGAGGTCTACATGCAGTTTTAAAGGGGCATTGAGTAACTTTTCTGGAATGGAGCGTTTGCGGTATGGCATTACACTCCTCTATCTCCATGGAGTCAAGTCAGACCTGTGGAGAGGTGACCCCACTCACAGTTACAATGCAAGTTTTCAAGGTTTTTTTTTGGCATTATAAAGACATAATTATATAAAAGCATTAAGTTAAGTTAAGTAAGGCATTAAGTTTAATGCCATACTAAGAAACACTCCAACCAAATCAATGACATCTCCATGGAGACAAATAACTGAAAAGTTACATAGTGCACTTTCAAACTGGTGAGACTTTTTTACCTCACTTGTTAGAATAGTGAACTTGGTTTTGATATGCTCCTCTAGCCAAACAACATGGTAATTAGTGAGATTAGGAAATTAGGAAAATAATGAGAAACAGAACTAGTGGTTAAAATTAAATAAAATGTAATGAGCTGTTTGAGTAATTTCTTGTAATGTCAGAAGTTAATAAATTAGGCTACACAAACAAATAATCAAGGAGTTTGTGTTGTCCTACCCACTTTCATTTTTTTGTTGCTAAATAGAGGCCTGATTGTAAATAATAATTGTCATAATTAAAATGTGAAACTCTGGTCTAGATTAAAGATTTTGCAACTCTGTAAAAAAAGCAACAGAAGAGCCTGCACACAGTGAACGCAGCCTTATGAGTTTGAGTTAAATAGTAAGACGTTAACCACATAGCCTGTGTAATAAAGTGTATGGTTAACCTCCATTCTGTGTCAGCGTATACACATTAATGAACATTCCACCAGACAGTCAGCTACAGCCTAAACCAGCATCTGCCCGCTCCTCTCGCCTTCCTTTGTCCTGTACAAATAAGACAAGTGTTAATATGAAAGCTGATGGGAGTTATTGGTATATGGAGGCATTGATGGGGCATTAAGGGGCACCTGTAGGGCGTGTGAGTCGGGGCGGGCCGTGGCACAGATCTCACAGCCGGGGCGAGATGGCTTGTTGATGAACGTGCACAAGGGACAGGCCCATTCTGTTTGCTAAAAGTGAAAAATATGCAAGTTAATCTATATTTTAAAAGGAACTTAGTACTAAAACATTTTCATAACAATGAACTAAACAAGATGACTCACTTGTGTTTTACTGGCTTTGTTGGTTTTGTCATTTATTTGTAGATTCTCAAAGTCTAGGATGTCCTTAAGGTCAACTGCTGACCCCGAGCCACCTGCAGACCAAACCAGTGTCATATATAAAAAAAAAAAAAGGAAATTATTTTATGTAAATGCACATCTCCTAACTAAAGCTTTGCAGAACTAAAGAAATATAGAAAAAATGCAGAAATATGAACATAGAAATATGCACAAGAGTAGCCTAGTAGCAGCTGAGACCTTGATTATTGTGTAGCCTGGTAGGCAGGGTGCTGTAACCCCTACGGTCTTGGGACATGGGGCCATTTCCTGGAGGAGGAGGAGGGGCAAGGAGGGCACTCTCCAGGTCCTGTTGGAACAGCTGTCTGGTGATGCGTGCCTGGCGAGCGGAGATCAGGTACAAGTACGCTGTGTCCCCATCTTTCTGCACCCCATAAGAGGCCAGAGACCTGGGGTCTGTGCACAGGCACTGGCCAATCACCCAGCGCTGCACCCGTGGGTGAAAACCATACTCAAGGAACACCTATAGAAGACACAAGGCAGCTTCACACATGTTCTATGGACATCTGCATCATTTGGTTTAAATCACCATTGATAATGTTTATGGTATGATTGCAGAGAAGAAAATGTAGAGTCCCCATTAGCAAATGCATTTTCAGATCATACACACAGAAAAGGAAGACACAGTGAGAGAAAAGGGTGGGAAAAAAGTGAAAAACATTTGAGCTTTTTTCAAATGCAAGAAAGACACATATAAATCAACACTGAGGTTGTGCTTTAACTGACCTGTTGTTTTAGTGCAGCCACTGTCATGTAGGGGAACACTTTAACTGTTACACAACATGACGATGAGACATCCTCCACTACCACTGATAAACTGAAAACAAACAAGAAAAAAACAAAACAAAATTACAATTTTAAAACAAAAAAACTTTCAACTATTTGCCACATGTGCCCTTGCCCTCTTACTTAATTTCCCCCTCTGTGTAGTTGTTCTGAGCTAACTGGATGGTGAGAGCTGCTTTCTGACGAGCCAGGGCTGAGGCATGTTGGGAGGCTGCTTGACTGTCCCCGGCTTCTATCGCTTTGGCCAGCTCCAAACACAGCTCCTCTGCGGTTGAAAGAAGAGGCAGTGGTTTATCAGTGACATCCATAAAAAGAGAAACAACATGGTAACAAACAGGAAGTACTCACCTGAGCGAGGGAGAGAGGGGGCCGAGCTGAACGCCTCTGCTGCTGTCTGTGTACTGTCCGATTCACACGGGTTGATATTTGAAACTGTAACAGAAAACAGAAACTCAGTATGTATTTGTGATTTGTATCATAATGTTTGCTATACTGTGCAATAGAGCTGTCGTGTGTCAAGAATTTCCCTTGCGGTAACTTATACATTTACTTTGGGGATGTATTTGAAAAATATCTGTATAAACACCCAAGCCTAAGTGGCAGACACGTGCATGTGCACATGTAGTGAGTAACATGCAAAGCCCGTACACCCATGGTAAACCCCCACAGAGGCAGCTGCAGGGGTATGCCTGTACGCACTGTGTGTACCTTTAATGTCCACATTGAATCTAAACGGATGTCACAAAATAGGCATGAGGGAGTGCCACAGTGATTAATTCGTGGTTAAGCATTAACTTTTGTATTTGCATGTATTACCTGCACCTCTTTGTGCAGGTAACAACTTTTGTCCTCATGCAACTATCGCCAAATGAAAAGAAGGTGCACCCCCACAGATACTCCAGCCAGCTGCCGTGGCGTGCCATACATTAGTTTCAATGTGCGCAGGTTCGGGTCAGGTCCTAGTATTTCAACACATTTGCTCAGAGCCACGTAAACATTAATTGGTCGGGCATGTACATGGAGCCTCATAAAAATGCAAAATGCGGTTACCGCAGTCACCTGAACACTCGGGCGGTGATCATACAATATTGCGGTTACTGTGACAGCCCTAACATGCAATTACTAAAAAAGTGAAGTAATTTGAAGGAATCTATTTAATGTAAACTTAATGAAACACATTTTTACAACAGTGAGTGAATTGTAAAATCATTTGAAAGATAGCATTAAGTTTGTTTCATTTGAGTCATTTTTAATCTGCTATTTTTATACACTATAGTTTCACTCCCTCCTTTATTCTCTTTTAGTCTATGATGATGAAGTCCATACCTCTATGTGCCTCTCTGAGTGAGGACATGACCACAGTGGCCCACTCCTCGGCCTCCCGGTCACAGCGGAAGTTGAAACGGATGCAGTCATGTGGAGGAGCAGCCAGACGCATCTCATGACAGCGAGGGGACTTCACCTCATACTGCACCGAGCGCAGATCGAACTCTGCAATGAACTGAGGACATAAAGCACAAAAATACACATCTTAAAGGTAATCAGAGTTGCCAATTTTTTCCAATTCCATCTTGAATCTACAATAAGTTAAAGTCCTTGTAAGCTACAAACAATAATGTCTACCTTAAACCAGTTTAGTATGGATGTTGAGGTCCAACAAAATAATTCAGAATAAAGTCACAGAACCCTCCTCAACCAGCAATGAGGACATGTTCTCACTGGAAATTCTAGGCCACCAAAGTGATGATCTGTTGCTCTGCTTGTAAATCTTGGCAGTTCTTTTGGACTTGTCCTTTGGACGTGGTTGAGAAGATGAAAATAACCTATGAGTTTAGCAGCTTAATAATCATGGTAAACCTGAAATAATGTTGCATTTTGGTGCAGTAGTTTACTGTTGTCGGATAAACACAGTCCTGTGTGAATATAGGGCTGAATATGGCCAGTGTGTTTCTGATCTTTAGAGTTGAGGTTTGGGGATGTTACCAGTAATTGATGTGGCACATTGTGTATTTATCATGTATGGCCATTGTAAAATGGAGAGATAAGCCGATACATCAACGTGCTTTATCTGGTTCATTCAAAATGTCCCAGCCCTGCCAAACACACAGTAAACACATCCGTGTGGAGCTCACCACGCTACGGCTGCCGCTCGTGTCTCGCAGCGCCAGGCGGAACTCTCCGGCGCGGCTCGGGTCCATGGAGAGCTGCAGGCGGAGAGCCTCGCTCCCTGCCCCGGGAAGGCACAGCGGCCGGATCCCGGAGTGACACACCGAAACCCGGACTGACATAAGTACCGTGTTGCAGCAGGCGGCGGGGGCAGGGCCGCCGCACACAGCCTGCTGAGAGGCAGGTAGCGGGGCTGGAGGAGCCCATCCCGAGCTCAGAGCCATGACGCTGCGACGAACCGAACCAGGTCCCGCTGCAGGTGCAACAGAAGCCCGCTGCTGAAGGCCAAGGATCAGACGGTCCTCCGGGCCGTCAACAGAGCGTTTTGTCCAACGTCCACAGTACGCTCTTGACTGTGTTCTGATAAGGGGTCCATGTCTACCCGAACCGAGCAGACACAGAGCGAAAGAAAAACAAAACAGGAAGTGCCACTGTACGCTTTTTATTTATGTCCGACTAGGAACTAAAGTTTAAAAATATTCCATGTCAATCCTGCAAACCTCTGGATAAAATAAAGATAGACTATAGTACACAGTTGATGGTGATCATAAAATAGTCAGAGTCAAATCACCAAATCCAGTCATGAAAAAATATATAGACATAATAGTCTACTCTGCCTTATGCCTATGCCTGTTTGTTTATAGAAACATGTGGTTTGATTATTTGCCCACAGGTTGAAACTTACAAATAGGCCTGCCTCTTTAGGAGCACAAATCAATTCTACAGAGACCTGGCTTCGAGTAGAGTTAAACATTCACCTATGTGATGATTATCCGAGCTCATATCACTGTGTTGTACTTTCTATATAAAGTTGTTTAGTTGGAGCTCCACAGTGAATGAAGCAGAGGTGACTAGAGAGGATGTCTGTGGTTCTTCAGAAGATCAATTCTAGTGTGAGGAGCATAAGGCCCATGCAGGACACAGCTCTGGCCCAACGAGCAGGGCAGATTAAAGAGGAGCTCAGGCAGGTTTGTTGTACTTATTCATCTTTTTTTCTATGTTTCTTTTTTTTTTTTTTTTTTTCATTTTGAACTATCAGAGAAACATTTACCCTCTTGATAAGGGAGGTATTCACTCTTGACTTTAGAAATGTGTTACAATATATGTCTTATATTCTTGTACGTTTGTGCAGGGAGTGAAAAAGCCCTACATTAAGATAATCGACTTGACATGGGGCGACCCCCATAGACACGGCCTCAAGCCCCTCACATTTGCCCGACAGGTAACTCCTGTTTACACTACTTTGTTTCACCTGTTTGGGATTAATATTTCGTATTTGTCACATGTTTTAGGTTTTGGCTGCATGTCTGTACCCAAAGCTCTTGAATGATGACACTCTCCCTGCAGATGTGAGGCAGAGAGCTCAAGGGCTGCTCAGCGAGTGTCAAGGGGGCAGCATGGGTAAGTGTATAGCTGTGGTAAAATAAACTGAAAATAAATACACGCTACATTCTGTCTGTACTTTTGCCAGTCACAGATGAAATCTGTGGAGAGGCGAGCACACCCACAGTAAGAATGCATGTCTTTCAAACGCAATAAAAACACTGTATATGCATTTGTTGTAAACCAGTATAGGTTTTGTGGAGATACTGGCATGTCGCAGACTGATCTCATCTGATCTCTGAAGTTAAGCAAGGCCAGGCCTGGTTAGTAATTTGATGGGTGACTTTTGGGAACATCAGGTGCCAGAGTGGGGTGCCAGTGGCAAAAACTGTTGTTGTGTCCATAGGCAAGACACTTGGCCTAGTAATATGGTGTGTGTGAGTGTTTATGGTGGTCGGAGGAGCCATAGGCGCAGATTGGCAGCCTTGCTCCCAGGGTTAGCTGTTGCTACAATAGTAGCTTACTGGCAGCTGTGGAGTGAATGAATAATGCTCTGTCAAGTGCTTTGGGAGTCTTGAAACGGACCTTATAAAACGTATAAAATAGATTACACGTTATACAATACATTATTAAGTTTTGATACCTACTGCTGAACTCAACTTGTTCAAGGTAAAGCAATAACAACTCTATGGAGCAAGCAAAAAAGTTGCATGGCGCAAGGTCAAATAACTTTATAGAATTGTACTTATCTATTTTTGTTTTCCAGGTTCATACACAGACTTGCCCGGCATTCCACAAGTGGCTCGGCAGATTTCAGAGTTCATTGTGAGACGAGATGGAGGTGTTCCCTCTGACCCGGAAAGCATCCTCATTTCTCCAGGCTCTCAGTGGGCCCTGCAGGTACATTTTGTCTGCTAATACATTTGACAAAGTGCATAAATAGAGCTCTTATTTTCAAATATATGTGACTGATGTTATTAACACAATCAATTAATTCATTCATCCATTCGTGCTACTGTGTTGTTGGAAAGTCTCATCTGGAATATTTTCTGGACTTTCCAGTATTAGGAGACGGACAGCACATTTAACTAAACAAGTTCATGATATCCAATTTTAAACTGTTTGTACTTTTATTTGTAGAACATTTTAAGTTTGCTGGTACATGGCAGTGATAGTGCAGTGAGATCGGGGGTGCTGACTCCGCTGCCCTCGCACTGTGTTTCCATCATGTCTGTGGTGGGACTGGGGGGTGTGTCTGTGCCGTACCACCTGTCCGAGGAGCAGGGCTGGGAGGTGCAGGTGGAGGAGCTGAACAGAGTGCTGGAAGCTGCAAAACAAGAGTATGATCCTGTCGCTTTATATGTCATCAATCCTGGAAATCCTTCAGGTAAGATAATAGATAATACTGTAAACTTTAAATGTGCACTTTGTAGGATTGTCCGTCACTTGCTGGTCTCCATGGAGATGTCATTGCTTTGCTTATAATGTTCCACAGTATGGCCATAAACATATCTTGCGTGTATTTTTCAATGTATTTTGAATCCCCAAAACATCTGTAATTGAACAAATACATGATAGATATAAATATTCTAGACAAAGCAATAACTTCTCCACAGAGATAAGGCCAAAATCAGCCTGTAAATAAACTTATTACACCCAATTAAAGGGCTTATCAGAACTGTCTTAACCAATATCATGGAACTGATATCCTCTCCAGCAAATTTTTCACTATTGGCGCAGATATATTCGATACCAGCATCATATCAATACATCCCTACTAGAAATTGTGTTATTGCCATATAATAAACCTTTATCTTTCACAAAATGCCAAAATGGTTATCTACTGAGGAAAAAATAAGTGAAATCATTCTCATATTAACAAATGTAAGCCTACATAACACATAACAGTTTTGTAATGAAAAACAGTACCTTATTTTACATTATAGGTCATGTTCAAAGTAGAAAATCTATCCAAGACGTAATTCGGTTTGCGTCAGAGAAGAGGCTCTTCCTCTTGGCAGATGAGGTTTGTCTAAATATTTTTTATATATTTGTGACATTTGCTGTGAGTGAATGGTGAATGCATTTAACAGATTCATACATCTTTCTAATTTTGACTGGGCTTAGTGAGATACGTCGTAAATATTCATCATAATATTACATCAGTTAAGTGGCAGTTTGTGAAGAAAAGTAGAAAACTAAAATCGAGAAAATAAAGGAAGTTGCGCTGAATTCTTTTACCAAATTCCTTTATTTATGTCATCAACTGCCATCAACTCCATCCAAAATGCAGAGATAATTTACGCACAAAGAAGGATTTTTTTTTTTTTGGGACAGTTTTCTGACAATTGAAAGGTGCACTGTGTAACTTCTAAGGTGGAGGGTCTGTTACTTGCTAGAGATGTTATTTCTTTGCCTGGGATGTCCCACAGTAGGGCATTAAACATATCTCCCTTGCATTTGTTCAATTACAGGTGTTTCATACCTAAAAAAAATACCTTAAAAACATGAATTTTTACCATATGCAGGCTTGCTTCTCCATAGATCTGACCTTTAACCTGTCTCCACTGTGACTACCAAGTTTATCAGAACGGTTGCACAGTGCACCTTTAAACATCGGTTGGATAAAATAACTGTGTTGTCATTTATTTTTATTCATCAACTCATAACTGTTATGCACTTTTTATTTAGTTTTGGCTCTTTACAACATGGTGGTTTTTTGGTAACAAACATCTTAGTATGTCACATCTGCTGCGTTCCAGCCAGAAAGTGAAATTATAATCTTCACCAAAAATGACAAAATTAGAAGATTTTTAGTGAAATGTTTTAAAGAGATGAGTAGTCTAAATTGCCTCATGGACTTTCATTTCATTGACAGGTTTATCAAGACTGCATTTACAAAGACAACATAGAATTTGTGTCCTATAAGAGAGTTTTGGCTGAGATGGGACCTCCTTTTTCTAACACAGTGGAGCTAGCCTCATTTCACTCTGCATCTAAAGGCTTCCTGGGAGAGTGAGTATTCTGTTAACTATATCAACATTACATAACATTATCATCTCTAGGGATGCACCGATCCAGCTTTTTTGCTTTCAGTACCAATTTCGATACTATAGCATTAATCTACGGATACCCAATATCAACAGAAACTAGTGCAGAGATTGAAAATAGCACTTTATTTCCTTTAAACTAAACTAAAATAAGACAAAACTGATCCAAATATGTTCTGTAGCTGTTATTTATCTCTCAAGTAAGAACAGCTTTGTGTAAATAAAAACTCAAACATTATGAGACTTTTCTGTTCAACCAGGATATTGGCTGAACCAGTATTTTGAAGCTGTCAGATATCTGATCCAGCACATTTTTCAGTACTGGTGCCAATATCCGATACCAGTGTCATTTCCCGATTTTGGTGCTAGGTACGTATGTAGACAAAGCACAATAATTATTTAAAACATCATTATAAGAAATACAATACATCAAAATCTTCAAAAGGGAAGACAATGGGCTTTGACACTTTTTGTAATCATTGTACTTCAAACATAGGCACCACTTTATAATAACTAGGCTACATCCTAATTATCCTTAATAAATTATTAACAAAGACCTAATAATTATAGGTCATTAAGTAGTGACTAAGCCTTCTAAGCATTCTTAATTAAGTGGTTAGGATAAAGCCATACTTGTCTCCATTAAGATGTTATTACTTTGCCTAAAATCATCCACAGTATGGCATTAAACCCATCATTCTCCATGGAGACAAGAGGGTTATTCCACCACCAAGTTATAAGTCAGATCTATGCACATCCGCCCCCACTTACAGTAAAAACACAATAAAACATCTGTTATTTTAACAGAAAACAAAACAAAAAACAGGTTAATTTAATGCTATAGTGTGTGCAGTGGAATGTTGCATTACTGGTATTAACAAGAACAACTCCAGTTTATTGTTCCATTTGGTTAGCTATGATGTCATTGGTGTCAACAGAATTTGTCCTTCATTTACTCTATTAGTTCCCTTGGTCAACTCATCTTTCACCACAGAATCATATGCTATGCTCTTCTCATTTTATCTCGACATATTGTGAGTATTCAAGTCACCCGCTTACACTTACTGTACTTTCTAACAGTGTGGAATATGTCAGACAAAGCAAAGAAGAAAAACTGAATAAAATACAGAACCATGCTCCCTTTAGTAATTCTGTTTCTAATTACACCATTTAAAATCATTATTATAATTGTTTCCTTATAGGTGTGGCTTGCGAGGCGGTTACGTGGAGTTGGTGAACTTGGACCCAGCAGTTATGAAACATGTATTCACCATTTTCTCCAAAGACAATGCGCCCACTCCAGGTCAGATAGCCCTGAGTGTGATGGCAAGTCCCCCACAACCAGGAGACCCATCTTACCCCCTCTATAGAATGGTTAGTACATGATAACACCGTATTACTGGTCCTATTGTGAGATAAATGCCATGTCATGTAATTTAATTGTAATTTTTATTGTTGTAGGAGACACAACAAATGCAAACTTTGATCAAAGATAATGTAAGAATAGTGCATGAAGTTTTGAACAGCCTGCCTGGTGTCTCTTGTCAGCCAGTGGAAGGTGGAGCTTTTGCATTTCCAATAATATACCTTCCACCCAAAGCAATTCGAAAAGCAAAGGTTAGCATACTATACTATAAATTCCTACATGAGTGTGGCAGATATAATAGGGCCCGTGTTACACTATTTTCTGACCTGTTATGTTGCTTCTTCATCAAAAACATGCCTAGAGTTTTAATTTGTTTCATTCACACAGATATACAAAAATCCTTCATATTTAGGCTGAGTTCTTATTTCAAACAGAAAACAACTGTCCCACCTCGTGATGCCATGTAGTAATACAGGAAGTGCTCCAATGTGTTTTTAAACTACATACACCTTCACTTGAATCATTTGGATGATTTCAGCCCAGGAATTGCTACTCTTTACAGAGTGTTTTGAGCTCTGGAGATGTAGACAGACTAATAATGAAGGGTTACTCAAACATGTGTGAATGAAACAAAATGCAACTCCTGGTATGATTTTGAGGCAATGACAGCATTATAACTTGGTTAAAACTCAGAAGAATCAATTTTGAATTATATGGGCTTTTAAAAACCCCGAACTCTGAACCAAGATTAGGTCCAAATCAGGACACATGTTAATGCAGCCTTAAAGTGAAATGGAAATACAATAATACATCATAAAAACAAATTGGAATACCAGAGATACCTGAAAATCATTCCAGGAGCTGGGAATGGAGCCAGATACATTTTACTGCCTCAGACTTCTAGAAGATGCTGGTGTATTTTTCAGCCCAGGCTGTGAATACGGACAGAAGGTCGGAACCTACCATATACGGTAAATTATATAATGCAAAATATAATTACCGGTATCTAAATATGTAAATAAATGGCATTAATTCTCTTTTGCAGATTTTGCATTATGGCCACAAGGGGCACTATAGAGGAAACGCTAACGCGCTTCGCCGTCTTTCACACACATTTTATGGATGAGTTTTCTTGAATTAGAACTTTATTTTCTATCATCTCATAATTTACATTTATACCAATGTAAAGAATAAATTAATATAATAATAATAATTCATTAATGATAATTAGTAAAAAATAAGGGGAAAAAAGTCAAATGCCTTTTTCTTACATTGTACAGTGATCTTTATACTCAACAAGAGCAAGTAAAATTTCTGCCTACTATGAAGCAAAGATTATTCATAATCCAATCAAATGTTTGGATTTTACCACAACAAAACAAAACCAGTTTCCAGAAGTCATTGTAACAGAAATGATAAATAACATGAAACAGAATATGTTAATTTTAAAAGAACTGGACATCTAAGGAAAACATTACACATTTCAGTCCACCTCACTATCACTGTTCTGGGTGTATGGATTTGAGTCTGTATTATTGAGCAGTTGAACCAGCAGTGATATGAGTTTTCCATCTTGTGCAGAGTTGGTGGTTATATTCTCAGGGTCGCTAAGGTTTCTGTATAACATGGTGAGGATAGATGTACGCAGTTCCCATAGCAACTCCCAGGTGTCAGCCGCCATCTCACAGCGCACCAGTGCATGTCCAGGGAATGACACCTCCACTCGGTCTCCACTCACTGCCACAAAAAAACAAAACATAATAATCATAATTCATAAATGAAATCCAATCCAGTGAGTACCAAACAGTGGAGTTTAACACCAGCGGGCTCTAAAGTACTTTGGCTGAGACAAAAAGAAAACAGAAGCGCAGTGTAAATGTTGCTGCAGCAAAACTTGAATTTCTCTCAGGATTTTAATTTAATTTTAATTTGATTCGTATTTATTTTGAGTTTGTGCCAAGAGAGAAAAAATAATCATGTATACTACATATACATTGTAAACAACAGAAAAGCACATTTCTCGAAAAGGAGTGGGAAGAAGAAAAACTTATATGAACCCACCCCTGTTCATGACATAGTTTCAAAATGTATGTGGATGCTTCTGTACATTGATCACGGAATTTAACAAATATTTACAGATAGCAAAAATAAATTACATATTATGCAAAGAAAATATAATTTTAACCCCAAAACATTTTCTTTCTTCTTTTTTTTTCCCATTTTGTACTGTACACATATATATACACATATACATACACATGCATACATACACCCATACATACGGTATATGTATACATATATACACACACACATACACACTTATTATACATATATACACACACACATACACACTTATTATACATATATACACCCATAAATAAACACACACCGATCAACAAAGTATCTCTCTCTCACTAAAAGATCAGAACCCCACAACCATGAGTGTGTAAAATTTTTACTTTTATTAATTTTAGTATTATTTTAGTATTATTATTTTTGGTGAGGGGTCACTAATTAATAGGGGGAAGGGATTAAAAGAAAGAGAGGTAAAGTATAAATATATTTTTGAATGCACAACTTTAACACACAAGTTTTTAATTTCCAAATGTGGGATTTTTTTTTTTTTTTTTATTTAATAAGGTTTAGTATCTGGCTACACCATAATAATATGAAAGTCACAATTCTAATAACTTATAATAAGCATTATAAGTGCCTACTTAGGCCTGTCATAATAAATACTATAGTGACTTATCATTCAATATATGTTGGAACAATCATTTTTGGGGTCAGTTTTTATTGTGGGGACCTTTCCTTTGTACTAGTGGAAAAGGTTTGGTTACATTCCTGTACTATGACATGAGATTTAAGCTGTAGAAGGTTAAATTATGACCTTCTGTTACTCATTATACATACAATGTACCTATGTGTTGCATTCTGTGGTGTATTTATGTTTTAACAATATTGTACATTTAGAATATTTTTTGAGGGATAATTAGGCTTTATGGTTTGGTTTCAACATTATTATCTATAGTCTATGTTCACTTAGCAATATACATTTCAAAATGTGTTACCACGACAGGCCTACCCTTACTTTTACAATCTCAGAAAAGCAAACCTCTCTCTGACCTCTCTCATGGATGTCACATTCTGTGAGCAGCAGCAGGGCCAGAGGGTGCACAGCTGAAGAGTCCCTGATGAAAACTTGATCATTGGACTTCACTGCACTAAAGAATGTGAGCCAGCGACAGGGCAGCTCTTTTCCTCTAAAATGAAAATATAAAAAAAGGTTTACATTGTCAGATACAAGTTTTTGCATTATATTTGTGGTTATAAGTAAAAGCCAAACCTGTTGACAGTGGAGCGGTGAAGTATCACTGGACCTGTTCTTGTTCTAAAGGCCAAAGTGTTTGGTCGAAAGCGCCCTCCTTTGGTTACCAAACCTCTTTTTACCTGCAAGAGAAAACATTTTAACATAAGGATATAAACTTAATAGAGCATAAGGTTGTGTAATATAGAAACCTAACCATGAGAATACCATACAAAAAAATAGAACAGAATTCAATATCTGAATAACTCATAAAAAGTTTTATAGTAATAAACTCTTGTAATAAAATAAGCCTGTGTTTTCATGGCATTTAAAGTCATGTCGCATAACTCTTCTGAATTTGCAGTCCATGGAAATAGAAAATTAAAACCATACTTCAGAACATTCTCCACAAAGAAGTTTTAGACAAACTGTAACAATATAGCCAAAAAGGAACAACATTTTCATGAAGACAAGTAGGAGAAGGCCCTCGGAAGATTTTTTCTTTTTTATGTTTCAGTGCAATAAAAACATTAAAAAACAGGATTTATTTATTTTTTTTTTTTGGCCAAATAGTTACATGGTGGGGACTTAACAAAAACAAACAAACAAAAAAACATGAGTCATTATAAAAAGTCCTACCTGAATGAGGTTTGGGTAAAGTCCTGCCAGCAGAACAGCCTTGAGCAGCTCTTCCTCTGTGATGTGCTCATTGTAGACTGAGGCCTGTCTCTGACACTCACTGGCCCGAGACACAAGCTTCGCTTCAAACAGGTTTTCACTGAACTGAGAAATGAGACCTGCAGGAAAACAATGCATCAGCTCTGTTTAATTATGCTTTGAATTAGGACTATATATGCAACAATTTTTCCTTTAGGGTGCATTAAGTAAATTTTCTGTTTGTTTCTATGGATATGTCATTGCTCTGTCTAGAATGTTCCATCATATGACACTAAACGTCTCTACCTTACATTTGTTCAGTGACAGATGGTTTTTAGCTCAAAGATACCTAGAAAAACATGCATTCTGACTATGCCATACTGTAAAACATTCCAGACTAAAAGCAATAATGTTTACATGGAGAAAAGCATTGACGGAGCCTCCACCAGAAAAGTTACACAATGCTACACAATCTTGATATTCAATAAATTTTCATTTTGTCTTAAAAAAACAAAAAATGGCTTTTCTAACACATGAATAATACAAACTTTAAATCACGATCATTGGCACAAAATGGTAACAAAAGTAACTTCTTTCTGCAGAGTCTGAACTCTGCTCCAAACCACATGCCGTTACTGGCTACAGTTATATGCACACTCAAAATCTCTTTATTGCCAAATTTTTTGAGCTAAAAGACACAGATTTAAAACAGTAAGACCATTTGATTTCTATATTATATTGTTCCTCTGATTACTCCCATCATATTGTGCAGTTTGCATGTCCTTTAAGTACATTGAAAGGTCTAGAAATCAGATAAGAATTAGATTTTAGTGAGCTTGTAACTGCAACCATTGGCAGTACTGGCTGTAGACTGTAGATGTTCATTAAAAGATGTTCATCATTGACAATTAGAAATGCCAATGATGCCTTACTTTGAATGAAGATAAAAGTATGAGACGTACCATTGATGTAGCGTAGACTGGTCCTGGAGAGTGTGTATTTATCCAGATATTCATCTCTCTCCTCTCTGTCCCCCTCCCTCTGAAGCCTCCTCCAGCCTGAAACTACTTGACTTAACACCAAGTAGTCACTGTGGTTAGATTGACTCAACGATTCCTTTGCCTACAGAATACAATAATTATTACTACGTTTAACGAACCCATATTACTATTTTCTGATCTATGTTATAATGTTGTTTACTCATCACAAACATACCTGAAGTTGTGCTTTGTTTGATTCACAAATCTGCATATTTAGGCTAAGCTCATCTCTCAATCAGAAAACACACTCCTCCACCTTGTGTGACATAACATCACATTCTGATTGAGAGATAAGCTTAGCCTAAATATGCAGATTTGTGAATCAAATAAAGCACAACTTCAGGTATGTGGTAATACAGGAAGTGTACCACTCTGTTTTTAAACTCGACACACCTTCACTAGAATCATTTGTATCATTTCTGACCTGGAATTCTCTACTGAACTAAAGGTAAAAGGAGCTGTTAACTTGAAAACTACCACTTCATTACATCACAAGGCAGAACAGAGAATTTTAAGCTTTGGAGATGTAGACAAACATCAAAACAACAAAATAAATGTGAGAAAAAAAACAACACACAACTCCATGTATGTTTTTGAGGACGTAAATACATTTTAACATGGCTTAAAGTTCACAAGAGTATTTTAAAAAGTCATCATTTATAACTTGGATGACTAAATATTAAAAACCTTGTTTACGAGGGCCCGGTTCTGGAGGCTGTTGTGAAAAGGATCCCTGGTGAGACAGGCAGCCACAGACAGCAGAGGGAGCACACAGTGAAACAAGGCTCCCAGAATGAGGACTTTCCCCAGACGAGGGTCACATGACATGTAAGACACCCGCTCTCCTAAAGGGGTCAGGGTCTCCGTTTTGTCCAGAACTCCTGCAAAAAAGTCAACATGAGGGAGCATGAGAAAATACATAGACTAAAATGATCTGGCCTGATTTACTTTAGGCTTAGATCGTCTGAAAATTAGGGCTACAATGATTAATATGAATTATCATAGTAAATGGCTTACCAATATCTTGTAAGTTTTGCACAGCATCTTTTACTGCTCCTTTATCAGGACTATCAAGTACTTGTGCTAAAAAGTCTTTAGCCTGCAAAACAATGACCAGAATTCAGTTAACTAAAATGCAAAATTAGAACACTTAAATGTTTATTACATCCTGTACCCGAATAGTAGGACTGTGAATCTTGGCTTGCAGAACTAAATTCTCTAAAGGTGTGCGCAGGATCTCAGGAATGGGGAAAGGAGTCATAGATTTTAGTTGCGTTTGTGAAAATAAATGGTACGAGTGTCCGGGCTGGCATCGCCCTGCTCTGCCCTTTCTCTGGGTGACGTTGGAGCGGGAAATCCAAACTGTGTCCAGACAGGAAACCTAAAAATAAATGAAAGGTCCTATATTACACAGTATTGATTCTTGTGAGCTTTAACCCATGTGTTGTAACCTCATCAAAAATATACCTGGAGTTGCTTTTTGTTTTATTCGCAAATGTTTGGAGATCTGGAGACACTAATAATAAAGGATTACTCAAAGTTTAAAATGCTCTTGACCACCTTATGATGTCATGAAGCGGTAGTTTTCAAGTTAACGTCTACATTTTCATTTAGTTCAATAGAGACTGGAAATCCCATGGTTGAAATTATCCAAATGACTCTAGTGAAGATGTATACAGTTTAAAAACACAGTGGAGCACTTCCTGTATTACGACATAATGCAGGGTTTGTGTGTTTAAACATGTGCAAAATGAAACAAAACACAACTCCCAGTATGTTTGTGATGAGGAAACAGCATTATAACATGGATCAGAAAATAGTGTTATGTGGGCTCTTTAACAAAAAGCAATATTAAATGCAGTAAAATTTCATTTCAGCGCCAACCTTTGTTCTTGGGTCATAATTCTGCTCTTTATGCATTCCAGTATCCACCACATGCACAATGTCATCTATTGTGATGGAGGTTTCAGCTATGTTTGTTGTTAAAACGATTTTCCTCTGGCCTGGAGGCGGGTGCTGGAACACAGTCTGCTGGTCGGCCACTGATAAACTGGAGTGCACTACAAGAAAATATTACATTTAAATGAGTCTTTACTACATTGGCTATTAGGATTGTCAAGAGTATCGATAATCAAATGCTAATCAAATATTAAATCTATTATAGAAAAAAAAGTAGACGCTCATCTGAAGTATAGATACTAAAAACGCCGCATTCACAGGACAGAAATGAACCTTTCCTTGAGCTTTAGAATGATGTTGAGCTGTATCAGAACAAGTATAAGATCACAAACTAGTATAGATCGATGAAGCATTTTGGAAAATGGCTAGACGACTGAGGGATTAGATACGACACAGATACGGCCAGATAGTAATAATAAAAGAAAGTACTACGATTTAATGTTAATAATGACATTCTGTTAAATAAACATATTCGAATCAGTATCGAGTAACATCATGATAACACTGTTGGCTATTAGGTAACATTTAGAAGATAACTCACAAGGCAGAATCATCTGTTTGCCTGATGAAAAGTGCTGCTTAACTGCCAGTTTCTCTTGAACCATTTTGATGTCTTGCCAACCAGGAAGAAAACACAATATAGCCCCTGGAAAGACATCAAAATAAGGCATAATGATAAGGTATATAAGAAATTTAAATATCAAGGAAATCAAAAGTAACACCTTACCTGGCTCTCCACATTTGTCAACATGTTCAATCACATCAGCTACCAAATCCAAATCTAATACTGTATCATCTTTTTCCATCTGAAATCAGAACACACATGAAGAATCTTGTGACAATGGATTTGCAAAAGACTCATACTTGCTCTAGTATTTCACATTTTAGTGAAGATTTCTAATTGTTCATAATCAATCTGGATCTTTCTAATCTACAGCAGTTTCTGATTATTTTGACTTTGAAGGCCTAAATTGGACTTGTTTCTGTTAACGGATTGAAAATTGTGAAATTAATTGTCAATATGATGGAAAAAAAAAAGATTATGATTATGTTGCCTAATCCTAAGCAGTGTAATTCCTCCCCCATATTTTAAAGACAAGCTACATAAAAAAAGAAAATGTTGAAACAAATAATACTTTATGCTTCTGTTGTCAAACTATGCAGAAGCAATAAGTGACATTTAAACTCCAAAATCTGTGGGAAACACTGAATATGTATGAAAGGCTTTTATAGGGTACTGTAACTGTAAATACATTGTGAAGGACTGTAAATAAACTTTGTATGAAACACTAGCATCTTAAAAAATTGCAATCTATGTAGTTTATTTAAAAAAAATTCTGGTGGAGCATCCGCCACCTGCTTGTCTCCATAGAAATGTTATTGACTGGTTTAAAATGTTCCACAGTATAGATTAAACTCATTTATCACAAAGGAGGCAAGCAGGTTACAGCACTATTCACAGAAGGAATTATTGCGTTTTTGAGCAATAGAAACACACGTAATGATAAATACTGGAAGGATATGTTTAAGGTCATATCATTCCAGGCAAAGCAATTACATCTTCATGGAGACAAGCAGGTGGCAGACCCTCCATCCGAAAAAAAAAAAAAAAAAAAACTTTTAAAAACTCTGTACTAGGTAACAGCCAGCTTACCTCACTATCGGTCTCTTCATCTTGACGCAGCAGTGGTCTTCCCATCTCTCTCAGCACGTCCTCCAGAAACCTGTCCCTCACCGGATGCATGAAGCCAGGCACCTTCACAATGGGGCAGCCTCCGAAATAATGGGACAGTCTGTGGTTGTCTCCAGTAGCACTCATGAGCACCACCCGGAGGTCAGGGTTCTCCTCCAGGCCAGTCCTTAGCAGAGCCAGCAGCAAGTCTGTGTTTATGTCCCTCTCGTGCACCTCGTCCACCACCACATGACTGATGCCTTTGAGAGAGGGGTTTGACTGGAGCTTCTTCAGGAGGACACCCACGGTCAGGAAGAGTAAGGCCCCTCCACTGTGCTCTGGGGGGCGGCTCTCAAGTCGCACCTATGAACAAAGTAGACATGAAAATGTGTAGCTAGAAAATCAACACTACTTCTTTGTTTTTATGCTTATTTATTATCTTATTATTTGTATTATTTTGTTCTTTTTTCCAAATATAATTGTCAACATCCTGATCTGGATATATATAGATAACTTGATAAGGACACATAATTTGCATAGTTACTTTAAACATAAGGGAAAATTACATTTAATAAATATATACAGTACAGAAAAAGTATTTGGACACTTCCTGTTTTTTGTTTGTTTTTTTTGTTTTTTTTGCATATTTGATTACATTTTTCATACAAGCCAAATTTCATATTTCATAAACACAAAAATCTACAGTGTGTAAATTATTTCATATTTAAAAATTGGGAAGTAAAATTGAAACCTAATTGACCCTGTGTGAAAAAGTAATGGCACCCCAGTAATTAATTAGGCCATCTTTGGCAGTAATAACAAAAAAAAGTGTCATTACAATTGAGATCATAATTACATACCAATTAAACACAATTTCAGGATAGCTCAAGTTTAAAAACATTGTAGTTTTGTAGGCCTCTGAATTGGTGTTTGACTTACATTTTTTTGTATTATGACCAGTTTATTACTAGTTTGTTTCAGTTTATAGCAACAGTAATTACACATCTTCCATGTACCTGATATCCCACAGAGCGTTTGAGAGCTGGGCCCATCTCCTGAGCCACTCGATGAGCTACAGACACAGCGCTGATCCTTCTGGGCTGAGTGACCAAGATGTTACAGTTTGCTCCTTCTCCTGCCCTGACCCTCTCCTCCAGCAGAAAGCGTGGAATCCTGGTTGTTTTTCCACATCCCGTCTCCCCGGCGATCACCACCACCCTGGAGGACTGGACTGCAGACAGCACCCTCTGGCGGTGAGCATCGACGGGCAGCTCCACAGAGAGGCCTGGGTCTGCGCTCTCCCACTCCCCCTGCAGGTAGGAGTTGAGCTGCTGGGCCTGCTGGGAAGACAGAGGTCTGTATGGTCGGCCCGTGATAGCATCTGTCAGAGGCTCTTCATCCTCTTCTTCCTCCTCCTCCTTCTGTTGAGATGCTTGCTCCTCTTCCTCCCACAGCTTCTGGACCTCTGCTGCCACTGGATACTGATATAAGAAAACAATATTGTAAGCTAAATAAAAGTACAATATAGAATTGTGAAATGTACAAAAATGCCCCCCAAAAAAAGGTACTAAAATAAATATGTTGTAAAATAAGTATAAACTGTGTAATGTCTGAGAAAACTTTTTGTTTTTATGTCAATGTAAAAGTGTTTCATATGTTTACTACACCAACCTCTGAAAGATATGATTTGATACTGTCCTCCAGATATTCAGGAATGTCCAGCAGAAATGGCCGCCTGTCTCTTGCTCCAGCCTCCTTCACCAGCTCACGGTGGTACTTTGCATGAGTCAGGGGGTTGTTGTTTTCATCCAGCAGCTCAAGTTCCTATAAACGCATTGAAATGTGTGTAAAATTTGTTCCATTCTACTTCTGCTTTTTACTAGTATAATACAAGTACAATTATAACCATGCAGTTGTATGCCTGAAATTAGTTGCTATTTAAAGTTTTAAAAGTTACTGAAAATAGCAGAAGTCCTAATTGTCCAATCCACGGTTAACACACACAAAACAATGCTGCATCACCTGCTCTGATAGGCCAGTGCTCAGAATATGTGGACTGCACATTTAAAATGTTGTATTGGTCAAGTGTGGTACAATAGATTGATCTAAAATTACTTTTTAAATAAATACACATTTTGGTAGCAATGCACTTAATTCATTACTTTTTTTGGCTATGTAACTGCACTTAAATTATAGTACCCTTTGCACCACTAGTATTAAGTAAAATGGTTAATACCTTGAGTTTTAAGCATGCTAAAGCTGCGGCCCTCTTTTCTGCGGTTGCTCGTTTGTTTGATACGGCTGTAAATGTCATCTCCTCAGGCCATCTTAATGTCAGCTCACATGTCTTTATATTCCCTCCAGTAATTTTATACTGGACCAGCTCCTACAAACACAAGAATATACAATACATACATCAGATCACGTGGGTAAATATTTCACTTTTGATTTTATGCTACATACCCTTGTTCTTTGGGATGAGGTGGCAACTTGAATGACCCTTGTGAGAAGAGACTTTGCATGTGGAAAAAGGGAGACCGCTTGAGAAACTTCAGGATTTTCTTCAATAGGCATCTGCTTTTGTCCATTTGATATTGATTTAGACACATGGAAGTTATCTTGACAAAAGTCCTCATCTTTGTCAAAGAGATGTGACTGCAGCCCTCCTCTCCCTCTGCCCGCTCTTCTTTGGGGAAGCTGATTGTTTGGACCAATAACACCCATGTCCTGAAAGGGATAACAATGATGTATTATACTTGTAGTTTTTAATTCTTTCTGGTTACTCAAAATTCTCTTCATTTGATACAGTAATCACCTTTTATAAGCATCATCTAGCCACACACAAATACATTCAAACAGACGAGGTATAGAGGAATTGCTTTGTTCAAGGGCTCAAGAAGAACTGGCCAATGTATTGACAGTTGCAGAATTGCCACCTTTTGGTCACTTGGCAAATGTCTCTATAACAGCTACTAATTACCTCTCAAACATGGGTGGCCAGGGTAAGGGACAAGCTAATCTATAAGTACATTTTAAATCAAAATGAGTGATATAAAAAGGATAGACAAACTTACCTTCAATTTTTGGCACACAGCAGCTGCAGCAGCCCGTTCGGCATCAATCTTTTTGGATGCATATGCCTCCTCTTCAATTTTACAAGGCCATAGCACGGTCACTGTTGCTTTCTACAATCAAAAGACCCCCAAAACATAGTTGACAAAATGTATTTCACATATTAGTTTATTAAAAGCCCCTTATGCTGTTTGCTTCTATGTTATAATGCTGTTTTTCATCAAAGAAATATCTGGAGTTATGTTTTGTTTCATTTACACATGTTTGACACACAAACCCTGCACATTTAGTCTGAGTTCTTCTCCAGAACTGTGATGTCGTGCATGGTAATAATACGCTCGACTATGTTTTTAAAATCCATACACTTTGACTAGAATCATTTGGATGATTTCAGGAGCGGAATTGCGAATCTCTACCGAACTAAAAGATAAAAGTTAGTGTGCTGAAAACTAGCACTTTATGACATCACAAGGTGGAACAGAGCATTTAGAGCTTTGGAAAGGTAGACAGACTAATAATAAAGAATTAGTCAAACATAGTGAATGAAGAAAAACACAACTCGCTGTTTCTGATGAGATAAAACATTCTAACATGGCTTAAAGCTCACAAGAATACATTTTCTGTAATATATGACCTTTAGCACTATATTTTTGATCATTTCTACAACTAACCTTGACACCGTCATATTCATTGCAGCTGTATTGGACTAGTCCGGATGTATCGCTAATGCCCAGTGAACGAGAGATTGTATTGTGCAGAAGACCCTTGGCATCTGGAAACTCCTTCAGAAGACTTGGATTAAGGTTTGCTGGACATAGAATAGTTACAAATAGCATCTGGTTATTGCGTACAAAAATATCAGGTTATAGATAATAAAGAATATCAGATCAGCATCTTTACAAAACGAGGATGCCCTTGAAGTATCCCGCATAGTGTGATCTGTCAACAGTTAGCCACATTAGCCGCCGGTGCTAAAACTCACCTCGTTTACCCTGATAGTGGCCTATCCCGTGGTCCTGGTGATTCCGGGGTTTGGTCCGATACCAATGCATCCCCTCGCTCCAGTTTGTGGCAGTTTGGGCTCTTGACTGAATACATTTACCTAAACTACAGAGTGCTCTCATTCGCACGAGTAAAACACCGGGTAGCGCCATCTTTAAACTACAAATTCTTCTTCTGTGGCCTCAAGCGGAAGTGATGAATTTTTCGACATTTTTCAAGTAATGTCGATAAACAGCGCCACTTGTGGGTTTGGTTGTTTTGTTCGCCTGTTAAACTGCACTGAGACCTTTATCTGAAACGGAACGGCGACGGAGCCAGGGCAGAGGACCACAGATACACGTCAATGGAGTGAATAGGTCAAATTGTTGCATTGAGCTATCACAACTTTAATTAGGCTTGAAATATTAAAGCAACATCAAAATGCTTGTTTTGTAGCTAAAATGTTCAGAATTTGAGGTACAAATAACTACTTTTGTTATTTTGGGCCAATCCAGCAGGAAATCTGAGGGCCAACAAATATTGGTCAGAAAGCCACATTTGGCTCTCGGGCCCCCTCTCTAGACATTTGTTTATGATGCAGTGATTATTAAAGTGGCCTACACATTGTAATAATTTTTTATATTTTTATTTTTTGAGCAGTTCGACAGTGTCTAGTAATGTCATGTCTGTGTGTAGTTACATGTGGCAAAAAAAGTTATAATTCTAATGCATTAATATTAATACTTTGTTGTGATAGAAATCAAACAAAATAAATATAATATAAGACAAAATATCATACAGTATCTTTGTAAGGTCGACTCTACGGTTTAAACTGTAAAGATTAATGTCTATATGTGATTTTGTTTACCTTCATAATAAAATGTATTAATATCAGTGCTGACATTTTGGCTTTTGAGTATACAGTAATCTTGCATCTGTTGAAGGGGAGGAAAAATCCCACGGACAGTCTGTACAGTTGCCTATATATTGCTGCATTAAGCACTTGAACATTTTTTCCCATGTTGGATAAGAAATGGAGCTGGCACTTGTTCTTCTCCTGGGCGTAACAGCTGGTAGATACATACTTTTATTTTTACTCTATTTTAATACCAGTTTAGACTGATTAGAAGGGATTGTTTTGCTTCAGTGTGCGGGTGTGGTGCACCCAACTATCCTCCCAACACAAACCGAGTGGTGAATGGGGAGGAGGCCAGGCCGTACAGTTGGCCCTGGCAGATCTCCCTTGAGTCCTTCTTCCCCACATGTGGAGGGACCCTCATAGCACCCAACTGGGTCATGACTGCTGCTCACTGCATCACGTAAGACAATGTTAAAGCACTTTACAAATAATTTTAAGACATAAGACTTATGAATGATTTTTGATATAGAAATCCTTCTTATCATGGTTTTCAGCTTTTTGGTATCAGTAGTTTTCAGATTCTATAGTCATATTCCCAAATGAGGAGCAAAACACTTCTTTTGACAACATTTTACTTAACTTACCTTTTTATCTTTCATAGAAATTAACAAATGTTGAACCGGATCATTTCTATAAGTTATTAGACAGTGGAACCAGATTACAACAAAAATCACCAATTTAACTATTTCAGTTTTAGCTGCCCCCTATCTATATTATTATTGACCAATAGAATGTTGTGATGACATCTGAAACCCAGCAAAATGCAACATTTTGATGACTTTTCACATTCAAAAGATATATTTTGTTTTTAATTGTTAATCACTATGGCAACAGTCTTAATTTCTTTTCCTTCTAAAACCGGTGGTCAGATTTCATACGTATAATGTGGTCCTGGCTGAACATGACATGGATAAAGTGGAGGGTCCTGAACAGACGATTAGAGTGGAAAAAATGATCATTCATCCAAAATGGAAAAAAAACTGTCCTTCTTGTGGGTAAGTAAAAGCAAACCGTTACTTTTCAACAAATGTGTCACAACAAATGCAAATTAACAAATTTTAGAATTTGCTGCTTTGTTCAATTACCGTAGTAATGACATCGCCCTGCTGAAACTGCAGACTAGTGCTGTTCTAAATGACAAAGTTCAGCTGGCCTGCGTTCCCAAACAAGACAGCACTCTCTCTCACAACTACCCCTGCTACGTCACCGGCTGGGGGCGCCTCTACTGTGAGTTAACCTTACGTTTGGTTCAGCCTCCTAATCCATTTTCTTTTTATTGACTAAAAAATTTCATCATAGTTTGTTTTAATTTCATATTTTTGCTGACTACAACAAAATAAAACGTAAACATAATATAAAATGATGATTTTATTTTTTTTTTACTGAAAGCACAAATTTTTGTTGAATTATAAAAAGGAAACTATACACAGACAAGTTTCACTTTTTGATCCCAGAGCCCCATAAACAGAATATAGAGACCATAAACAAACTCAGTGTCAAAGGAACACATCAGTTATGAAGGTTTTACTACTGCTCAGCCCTGCCATCACAATGTTTGTAAATGTCCCATGAAGCAATAAAATTATTTAATATAAGTTAGAATAAAATATAAGTTATACATTTTAAAAAGATATAATAAAATAAACCAAAAATCAAGCTGACTAAAACTATAATGGATTTATTTGATAATGTAAACAATTATTTAACTAAATCTTGGACAAAAACAACAAAAAAACAAAATGGTTCTTTAATTATTTTCAGTTGTTTTGTTTAGCACAAGGTCCTCAGGCCACTAAGCTCCAGCAGGCTCTCCTCCCAGTGGTGGAGTATAAAGTCTGCAGTCAGAGCGATTGGTGGGGCAGCTCTGCAAAAACAACTATGGTCTGTGCAGGAGGGGACAGCAAGTCTGCATGTCATGTAAGTGATTGAACTGTTGAATAAAGTACTCATTGAAATGGTAGTTATACATGTACTGGTCTTTAAGGGTGACTCTGGAGGCCCACTGAACTGCAAAGGCAAAGATGGTAAATGGTACGTGGAGGGAGTGACCAGTTTTGTGCATGGAAGCGGCTGCAACACTCCCAAGAAACCGACGATGTTTACCCGAGTGGCTTCTTTCATTCCCTGGATTAGTGAGGTAAAGATAGACACAATATTATCTAATGAGAATGGCCTATTATAACCTTTGGTAATAAAATGTTGTTTTTCTTTAGACCATGAGCAAGAACTGAAGCTGAACACTTGAAACATGAACATGAAAACCGCTAAATAAAGTTTTGAATAAAACTCAATTAATTCACATGTATTTTTAAAATATAGATTAGTTTTAGTCAACTTAAAGCAACACTGCTTGCTTCATAACTCTTGAGGTTTATGCCACAATTTTATGATTCAGCCACACATTATATTTTTCTTTCACTTTGCCACTCAAATGTAGAGCTTTAGAATAATTTATAATAGAGCAAGTATTTTTGATATGCAGTAGGTTAGAAGAATATCGAGGATATCTATTGAGAACACTCCAAGTACCCCATCACTTGAGTAGGAAAATAAATGTTTACTGTGTTGTCTATTAGGCCTATTCATATTTTTGTGTCTGTGATACGGATGTCTAGCTATTAAATTTCACTTTGTAAAATCTGAAATGTCAAAAAAAACATGTCAAAGAAATCTGATGAAAATGTCAAGATTTTTATTGAGTGCCACATTTCTTTAGTCTTTTAGACATGTGATACGGGGACTATGGCTGCTCGGAAGCAGGCCGGGACCCATGACATAGACAGCAACGTGGTGGAGTAGAAGACCCACCACTCTGTTTAGTCTGGCCGCGTTCCTGATGCTGTAGAGCCAGTTGTCTTATAGTCTGTGATGGCCCTGATGCCCTCCCAGGCCTGCCTATGGTTTGTGGCGGTGTTAAACCTGGTCTCAATATGCCTCTTGTGTTGTTGTTTGGCAGTATTGTTGCCTCTCCTCAGAGCAGTCCCCCATGAAATTCATCCATGAGCCTTTTTTTTTTTTATTATTATTTTTTTAATTGTAGTTATCTTTTCTTCCAAGTTGGCTCTTGCCAGAAGGAGCTGGGAAAAAATAAGACATGAGCTTAGATTTGAACATATTGTTGACCGTTATGAGCAATTTTGAATATGTCACCTTTTCCATAAGGGGCAGCCTCTGCAATAAACTTGGAAGACAACAGAGGGCACAATGTGTTTTTCTCATTTCTTCACTCATGATGACAGCATGGTTCTGGCTCAAGAATCTAAAGAGAAATTCAGTTTGAATCGGTTTGGAATTAACGCATATTAGATTGTGTTAAGAGTTACAACAAACCTGGGTTCTTGTTATGGAGGCATCTCACTCTTCTGTCCATAACCATCCATAACTAGGTAGGTAGGGGTCACTCTGATCTTGGCTGTCTTGCAGAAATCTTAACTGACATAAAGATCTTCTCTTCACCACAGTCAACTCACTTTGCAATCCATGCTGAAAAACAAACAAAACACAATAATTGTTTAAAGTGCGGTCCAAAATTTACTTTATTAATATGTGAGAATAATTAGTTGTTAATGTATATTGGACAATAGAGATATGATGGTGATGTATTACCTCGACGTGTTTCCACAGTAACTTCACATAGTCTTCGGGTGGCATCTTAACAGCGGTTCTTCACAGGCACGGTCAGTAAGACATCTGTTATCGATATTGTTTGATAAAATCAACAACCAAGTTATATTGCACACTATGAATATTAATCATCTCAGAACAGTATGAATTAGATTACTGCACCACTGTCGATAAACATTTGGAGATTAGATTATTTTTTAAAGGCTACAAAAGAGCATTTTGGGGAACTGCCACTAAACCTACCAGACATCTGGCAGTTCCTTCTGATAGATGTATGTGCATCAAGATGACAACAGTTAGGGTCTTCATCTTCATTCAGTTTTAGCTTCAGGGCATCTCTAGCAGGTGGTAGTAGAGTTGATTCTTCAAATGAAAGTACTGGATGAGCTGGGGAAAAAACAAAACATGATTTTAGTTAAAATATTCTCGAACTTTATTAGGGGACATACTCTAAAAAACACTTGGAACACAACAGAGGGCACACAGTTTTCTTCTTATTTCTTCATTCATGCTGACAGGATGGTACATGTTCTGATTCATCACTCTATGGACAGAAATTCCATTTTTATCTGTTAGGAATGAGCAAGAGCAAATTCTATTAAATTCTATTTTAAAGAGCTACCCAACAAACCTTGTGGCATTCTCATGGAGGAATCTCTCTCTCCTGCTCAGAACCATCCAGAATTGTACTACGCTGAAAAAAACACAGAAATGTTAAGACATTTATTTTCCTACATGTCGCTGTGCTCTGTGGACTGATGCCAGTGTGCACTAGATTTAGTTCTGGTTTCTACACTTTTGGGTCAGTCTCGTTCACACACACACACTGCATCATTCACCTCTAACACACACGTGTGAGAGGCCATCAGCTGATGCTGATGAAGCTGACGCGCTTCACGAAGACAGAGCCCTGAGAATATGCAGGCGCTCACTTCCCTGGTGACAGATTGCTGTGGTCCAGGATGTGGTTGTGGAATTCACACCGGCCCAAGTGCACTGCTCTCGGTGCGAATGCCCTTTTACATCTAGTAGTGGCAGTGTGATAATGATCTTAGTGTCTGTTTTATTTACCATTTAGCCATTTCCTTTGAGTGTTTTTAACACTGTTGTAAAATATAATATGTTAAAATTGGTCATAATTGTATTCATTTCTGCTCCTCTTGCAAACAGTATCTGTTGAAGAAAAAAACAATATCATTTACATTTGGTTGTTCATTCATAATAGAAAATATAGATAAGAGATGATAAAGTATTCTGTCATGTTTCGATGATGGTACCTGTTTTTGTCAGAATCTTCTCATGATGGCTGCTGTGACGTGTCACACAGCGATTCTTCCCAGGCGTGTTCAGCTCGACGGTCCAGTCATCATCTATCAGCCGTCAACAAAGATACTTTTTACTAAGAAAACATGATGAACATTATTAAACTAAAAACTGCACTCAATTTTAACATTTTTACTCTAACACTTTTAACCACAGCTTTGATTCTTTTTAAAAAGGCTACAAAACCAAAGAATATTTTGGGGCACTATCACTAAACCTACCAGACATCTGACAGGTCCAGCATTAGCATCATGATGACAACAGTTAGGTTCCATCATCTTCATCCTGCTTTAGCTACACAGGCATCTCCATCAAGTGGCAGTACAGTCCACGTGTATACTACATTAGATATAAGGATCAAATGAAAGCATTGTAAGAGACAGACATAACACAATAGTTGCACTGTGGTTTCATGTACACCGAGGAGGAGAGAGGCAGGGTTGGGTGGTCCTAATGGGTGATGACGCGATCTCTTTCCTCCAGACTTTATCCATGCATCCCTCTGGTCTCCATCCATGGTCTGGTCTCATCTGTTTGATGCGCTGTAACATCTGCATGTTGTGAATAAATGCATTCTGTGAACTATGGCGTTCCAGTGCTTCACACATAACGACTGGACAGCAGTGCAAACCTTGAACTCAAAAAAAAAATTGTGAAGTAAAAAGACACAGTACTACTCACCTGAGACCGTATTACAGTACTTACCAATACCTGGCACTGTGAAAAAAATGTATTAATGGTTAAACCCCACAGCTTAGGGACTTACAGTTCGCTGCTGAAGAGTGAGCGACTGAAACTGGAACTGGGCGCCAGGGTCTCCTCAACCTGACGGATAGTGGGGTCAGACGCCCAGGGGGGAGTCACCAACATGGAGTCCGAGCCAGAGACGTACACCCAAACCTCCTCCTCCATGTGGTGCAGGTAAGGAAGCAAAGGCCCAAGGAGCTGAAAGAGAACACAGTGACCTTATAGTAGTGTGTGTCCATTTTACATGTGATTAACAGTAGCGTGCTGTGTACCTCCTGGAAGCGGGCCTCATCCCACACATGGAGCCAGAGAGGGAAGGTCAGCTGCGGTTCTCCAGGCTGCTCCAACAACAAACACACACACGTTAAACACAAAGTACAATACACTACCAGGGGAAATGAGGACACTCACCAGGTCACGATGGCCCCGGGACAGTGAAGTGGGGGGCAGAGGGCCGTGGCTCCTGGAGGGCTTTTAAAAAACAAAAAAGGTTTCCTTGAATTTAAGACTTGAACAATCAACTATGGCACATTGTTTCATTCAGAGAAACATTAGACTCACCTGTGCACCAGGGCGAGGGGGCAAAGAGGAGCCCGAGGGGGAGGAGCCAGAGGGGGAGGGCCCAGGGCTGCGGCTCTCAACAGGCTGGGGAAAAAAAAAACATGACCCATTTGACATTTCATACAACTGTGTCACTGAATATCTAAGGTTAAACTCACCGGCACATGAGCAGAAGGACCAGTCTGCCGAGGCAGAGGGTTTCTGCTGCTGGCAGCCTACAAATTGCAATTTTGATTAAAAGGAAGAAAAAAAAATGGAAAAGGTATAAAACATGTAAAACTCCAACAAACAATCTAAACCACCAAGAGACAGGTTTAGCAGAGGCAAGTGTGTGAGTCTTACCTGCTGAGGGGCCGCGGGTGTCCAAGAGGTGGAGGGTCCTGAGCCATCCTCTCTCTGGAACTGGAACATCAGAAACACATAGGTTAACACAAATGCCTTTACAACAACATTGTAACAAAAGAAAAGTGCAGATGTGAACAGGCCTACCGGAGTGGAAGAGGAGGGTGAACAGCTGCCCCTCGCTGATGGACCACCGCGGCGGGCTCGCGTGGTCCGAGGGGCAGGTGCCGAAGACCTCTTCCTCTTCCTGCCGCCCTGTTGGACAAAAGATAAAAAACATGAACTGCAGGCCCAAAGACAACTATGGCACATCGTTTCATTCAGAGAAACATTAGACTTACCTGTGCACCGGGGCGAGGGGGCAAAGAGGAGCCCGAGGGGGAGGAGCCAGAGGGGGAGGGCCCAGGACTGCGGCTCTCAACAGGCTGGGAAAAAAAAAAACATGACCCATTTGACATTTCATACAACTGTGTCACTGAATATCTAAGGTTAAACTCACCGGCACATGAGCAGAAGGACCAGTCTGCCGAGGCAGAGGGTTTCTGCTGCTGGCAGCCTACAAATTGCAATTTTGATTAAAAGGAAGAAAAAAAAATGGAAAAGGTATAAAACATGTAAAACTCCAACAAACAATCTAAACCACCAAGAGACAGGTTTAGTAGAGGCAAGTGTGTGAGTCTTACCTGCTGAGGGGCCGCGGGTGTCCAAGAGGTGGAGGGTCCTGAGCCATCCTCTCTCTGGAACTGGAACATCAGAAACACATAGGTTAACACAAATGCCTTTACAACAACATTGTAACAAAAGAAAAGTGCAGATGTGAACAGGCCTACCGGAGTGGAAGAGGAGGGTGAACAGCTACCCCTCGCTGATGGACCACCGCGGCGGGCTCGCGCGGTCCGAGGGGCAGGTGCCGAAGACCTCTTCCTCTTCCTGCCGCCCTGTTGGACAAAAGATAAACAACATCAACTGCAGGCCCAAAGACAGTATCGGAATTATTAAGGTCTTCTTACAAAACCTCACTACAGGAGTTTGCGATTAGGAGGATAAACAGCAATCTAAAAAAAATTAACCTCAAATAGACCCTAAGTACAAGTTGTAAATACTCGCTAGTAGTAACTTTAAAGCAAAATTGTTCTATATACTAATAATGGTCAAAACTCTTGAAAAAGACAACAATTGCGTACCATGCAGCTGTTGAACTCTGGAGCTCTGGAGGCTGATGAAGTTCAAGTGCTGTAGGGACAATAACAAAAGGGTTTAGTGCTGCGGGAGCGCTAGCTTCACTGCTATTAGCCTTAGTTTAGCTTGTGGAGAACAGATAAACAGCTTCTCTCTCGGAGGACAAGAGCGAAATGGCGGATAATCCGAATGTTGTGGTTTAAATATATACAGCTATTGTTGTGGTATAAATATATACAACTATTGGTAACCATGGAATGGGTGCTAAGATTTGTGCTTCCGGTGTTTACGTTTGAATGCAGGGCTCTAGACCCTAGACCACGTGCAGGCTGTGGGCCAATCTAATGTCACTGCCACAGACTCGATTCTTCTAAATACAGTATACGCTCTTCTTTATATTTAGTTATGTTGCAGTCAGCTGTTTTTTTTTTTGTTTTGTTTTTTTGTTTTTTGTTTTGTTTTTTTGGTTGTTTTGTTTTGTTTTGTTTGTTTGTGGTTCAATGGCAATGGAGTGATTGGCTGCTTTTGTGGCTACCAGGCTCACACACTTGAGCTCAGTTTTTAACCTGTCGTCATGGGATTTTAACCAAATAAGAAGTGCCGAATTTTATGATTCACAAATATAGGCTATCACAGCGTTACTCTAAAACAACTGGCCTTACTTAGTTTCAGAAGCCACCATTTCGTTACCAACCAGATATCATTCTGTTTCCTTATAATTATTTGGAAGGAATCGTACCACCAAAATTACACTAACCTTAGGGGTTTAAAGCCAACAAGAGACAACATTCATGTCTTTGTTAATAAATGGCAGAGTAAATAAAGTCTGGTGTATATGTTGTGCTGGTTTCAAGGCCCTCTCTGAGAACAGTTCTTGAATTTTCCTTTAAATAATGAATCAAAATATCAAAACTATGCTGTAATTGTATTGTCTACACAAGAATAGGGTTTTTAGCACTTTGTATTGATATTTTTTACAATGTATGAAAGGGTGCATTGTGCTACGATTTCATATCATGATATATGCAAATTGTAACCATGTGCTCTGCTGCTATAAAAGTTGGTTGCCACTATTGATTGTCAGTGGATGTCCAAATCTGAACAATTACATAAGGTTATAATAAAGTTGTTAGACTACACTGCTTTCAGGATTTGTTTCTCCCATGTCCCAACAAATGTATTGCTAATGCTAGAGTAATCCAATCAATTAGACTGGGATTCAGGAGCTAATGGTGAACTTGGTTTGAAACTCAAAAGTTCTAAGTCTTTAATGTAATTTTATCAGTTCTCCCGATATCCTAAATATTGTATTAGCACAAAAAAGACTGCTGTAAAAGTGCTATGCATGGATGAGTAATTGCCTCTGTAAAAGTAAAGTCACTTAAATAAATGATTCCAAACAACATCCGGAGCCTCTCTCATGCGCTGAATAGAAACTTATTTATTTACATTGAACAAAAATGAAAATAAGTATATATAATTGTTGATTGTATAAAAAAAAGCTTTGCAATCCAATCCCATATTCAAAACTTTTCATAGATACAAAGTGATTTATTAAGTGCTTTTTATTCAATGCGTGTGTCTAATTATTTACACAATTCTGTAAAATACTGTGCTTCATCTTCATCCCTTTAGTATGAGTTTTGTAACTATAAATGTCATTACGAGGGAGTCCAGGTAAAGAAGTCTATGTCCTTTAGTTCTTGTGGTAAGTACTCCTGCTCTACAGGCCCAGTGAAGTTTGGATTGTACTTGTAGCCTTTAGAGTAGCCCAACTGTTTCATGAGTTTAGTGGGGGCATTTCGGAGGTGAAGAGGCACAGGGGGCAGTGGGCCCTTGTGGTTCCTCAAACTGGCTTTCACATTGTTATAGGCTTTGTACACATCGACTGACTTAGGCGCTTGGGCTAAGTAGACGACGCACTGAGCCAGGATCACCTGAAAGAAAAGACAAGAAAATACAGTACTCATTTTCAAAATAAGGTTAGAAAATGGATCCTGCTGCTTTAAACGCATACCTCACATTCAGGCATCCCAATAAAGTGACAAGCCTGGAAAGCAGAGACAGCTTGTGGAAGAGCCAACGGATCAGCCATACCTATGAAAAAGTAATAAAGCAAGGTGAGCTAAATGTAAAAACATTAACAAATATAATGCTGGGAATTGTTATATATAGAACAATGGCTTCTAATGCACTATAAACATTTTTAACAAGTTGCACATACCCACATCCTCGCTGGCAAAGCGGATCAGGCGGCGGGCCACATACAGGGGGTCCTCTCCCCCCTCCAGCATACGGCCTAGCCAATACAGAGAGGCGTTCTCATGCGAGCCTCTCATGGATTTGTGTAATGCAGAGATACAGTTATAATGCTCTTCTCCTGCATTTCAAAACAGATTTAGGTTATCACACAACGGCTTGTTAAGTGCAATGTAAATAACCAGTAATGGCCAGAAACCCAGCCCCTCTAGTGCCTAACCTTAACCCTTATTGCCTTGTAATAACATACCAGTATATGTTATCAAGTAGTAACTGTTAAGTAAAAAAAAACAAGCTCACCGGCTTTATCATAGAGGATATGGGATCGCTGAAGGCCCTCCTTGACATGCGCTTCCTTCACCACTATCTCCACACCAGCTCCACCTTGTAAAGCTTTATTCTGGGCAAGGCTCACCTGAGCTTGGACTGCCAGCTGCAGACTATTAAGACCTGTCCTGGCATCACCATCACAGAGATATGCTATAGTGTCTAATGCATCTTGCTCTATGTAAATCAGTGGCCTGAAAGAAAAGAAAAAAGGAGACAGACATTTTATACTTTCAGAAAGTAGCAAAAGAGCTCATTGTGTTTGTGTCATTGTGAGTATTATATATTAAAATATAATAAAAATAAACTTTTCAAATATTAAGATATTTAGAGTCACCCATGTCAGTATGTTTATGATGTTCAAAACTGCAAGAACATAGCTGTGTGGATAACTTACTGTTGTCCATCTGACTCTTCTGCAGGTTTGAGTCTGTCTGATGCTGCTCCCACCACCCTAATGTCCAGACTCTCCACTGCCCTCTGCAGGATGGAGCCCATGGCCTCCACAGACAGCTTTTCCAGCACCAGCACTCTGCAGCGGCTCAGCAGGGCAGCATTCACTTGGAATGACGGGTTTTCAGTGGTGGCTCCGATCAGGGTTATGGTCCCATTTTCCACATGAGGGAGGAACGTGTCCTGCAAAAAGAACAATATTTAAGGGTATAGTATTGAAGTTGAACAGAAGATTTGATTGACCCTCTGATGCACTCAGTTACACACCAGTTTTATAAAAAATGAAACTAATAAAAAATAAACAATAAAATTAAATTTGCATTGATAAAGTGTCAATTCCTGCATTTGAAGATGAGAAATGCTGTGATGGTTTTCATGTCAGCAGTTAAATACTGCACCTGCTGTGACTTGTTGAAGCGGTGGATCTCGTCGATGAACAGGATAGTCCTCCTCTTGCACAGCCGGAGCTCATTGTGTGCCTGTTTGATGACCTCTCGGACTTCATTTGTGGACGCGCTGGTGGCAGACAGAGTGATAAAGCGCGATGTCCCCTTCTTTTTGCTGGAGCAGGCAATTATGTGAGCTAGAGTCGTCTGGAAAAACACAAGGACAAAGATGTACAGTGAATGAGCTACCATCCTATAATACCCTGTTGGACATAACATACCTACTCTGGGTATGACAAAGAGCAAACTGTCAGAAAATAACAAGAGGCTGTAAAACTTTCACCTATATTCACATTCAATCCACATAGACACATGACATAAGTGCAGGCCCTCAAAAATGTAAAATTCTCAAAATGATTTATTTTTCTTTTGTTACTGTCAAGCACTTTAACCTGATTCAGACAAAAGTGGTTAGCTACAAAAGCAGGAGCAGCATCAATGTATTTAATAACAATGGGCATATGAATATTAAAGAGCAGGGACACAACAGAAAAGTTTATTATTAATATAGTTTCCTCCACAAACATTAGCATTTTTTATTAAAGAGTACTTAATAATAATAACAATATTAAGTAGGAGTAAAAGTATGTTGCTAGAAAAGTACAATTTCTTTGAAAAGCTACTCATGTAATTACGAATGAGTATTACCCACTTCTGAGGATAAGTCTATGGCCATGGGCATGATTACCTTTCCACAACCAGGAGGTCCCCAGAGGATCAGAGAAGGTATTTCTTGTGTTTCCAGAAGTGACCTGAGCAATGTATGCTCTCCAACTACTTTATTCTGACCAAAATACTCCTCCAGTGATTTTGGACGCAGGATTTCGGCCAGGGGCTTATCAAGAGTGAACAGTATCCTTCTTGCTAGATCTTTTGATACCTCTCCGTTAGAAGAAGCACCAGTTTCACTCATTTTACTTGTGCTCTCTTGTTCAGATTCTTCCTCTAATCCACGTTTTATACCCTTATTGATAATATTCCCAGAGTTTTGTTTACTGAAAAGCTTTCCTTGTCGCTCATTGGGTGCTGGTGATTTATTCTTGTTGGGCTGAAACATAGCGAACATAGGACTGGAAGAAGTGGAACCAGCGGTGGAGGAGGGCGGTGCACTGGTTTGGAGGACAGTCTCCGCGGTACGCATTTTCTTTACCGCCGGAGGGACGCTCTCGTCCACCGTCATCGGGCTGCTATCTGCGGTACCGCCGAGTAAACAAACGTCCAAGTGCCTGTTGATTGTAGATTGTTTAAAAATTTTCAAACAAACGGGACATTGCACCGAATCTGACGCAGAATCGGCGGCACGACTCGCCTCTTCCGCCATGTTTTCTCCCGCGAAACTTTTGACCCCTTGTCACGTGACCACACCTCGCTTGTAAGTATTTTTAACATGGATTTTTAAGTTTAATTTTTATGTCGTATTTTGGTGTAAATAAATTTTTTTTTGTACATATATATATATATATGATATGTTGACAAATTTAGAAAAAATATGTTTAAACGTGTAATAGACCTTCATTAGCTCTGGTTCAAAGTCTCGTGGTTTAATGATTTATTGTATTATTTGTTAATGGGTCCGTATCACGGTATTTTCTGATCTATGATATAATGTTGTATCCTAATCTAAAACATACCCAGAGTTTTATTTCATTCGCTTCGGATAATCTCTACCCTGGAATTGCCAAGTTCTACTGATCTAAAGGTAAAAGATAACTGTTAACTTAAAAACTACTTCTTCATGACATCACAAGGTGGAACAGAGCATTTTGAGCTTTGTGGATGTAGACAAACTAGAGGGTTACTAACGGATTGTCAATGAAACAAAACACAATTCCAGATTTGTTTTTGAGGAGGTAACAGCATGAGAACAAGAGCTAACAAGAGTGAATTTTGTATAATATATAAAAAAAGTAAAGTAAAAACAGATGAGAATAATTATTTTATTAGTGCTTTTTGGGTCTTGCACCTTTATTACAATTTCAATTTCTGCCAACAACAGTACCTGCCATGTGCTTTTCATGGAAGATCAGCTAATGAGAAAAAACTCAATTCTGACTTATATCCTCTCTATCTCTCAAGATAGTCAATGGTTTTCATGGTGAGTATACAAAGAAAACACAAAACACAAAGTGATTCTTATGATGACAATATTAGAACCTGGCCTTACCCATAGATGTGAGTTCCAGTCATGATTTCACAGACACATGACCAGATTGAGTTCACCCTCCTGAGAGAAGGTAAAAGCTGCACAACGCTTCTGAGAAACCAACACTGAGGTAGGTCTATATTTATTTTGTATTAGCTGCCAAATTATGTCAAAAGTGTGATTCTGAAACACCAAAATACTTACTTACTTTGCAGCTGATGTCATCAACATTCTCTGGGGGTTTGATGCTAACTGGAGGCACTGCTCTCTCTGAGGATTTCTTACTCAAATTAGACTATAATATGATCTTTGTTTTAACACAATCTGACCATAAAGAACTGACATAATAGAAACTACAACAGATGAGATGATTTGTGCTGTTAAACAAGTCTCTCACACATTAAACACACACTCTCACCTTTCTGTTGAAAATCAAACACCTAAACAGGACCATGAACACATGTGGTGGTCACAGGCTCCAAATGTGTTGTTATATCCATTTTATAGTTGTTTTTTTTTCTTGAATTTTCAGATAATTTAAAAAGTTTTTTGTCAGTGTTTGCTAATGTATGCATCGTGTCACTATGGTAACTCCTAAATCATTCCACCATTAGTGATACATGTAGAAGCCCCCAGTGGGATGTCACTGCAAAGTATCAATTGTCTAGCATTTCTAATCTGTTCTCTCTTTGGCAGCTGATGCACTTGAAAGCAAGGGCATAAATTAGCTCATTATTGAATTTGGCACAGATGGGCACATGAGTTGCCAGAAATGTTAAGCACCGTCACTGTTTATGCTGCCAGAGAGAGATGATACTTTTAAAATGCACGCCAAGTGTTTAGTCATAATGGATTTGTTATTATTTATTACTGAAAATTTTGGTGTTAAGATTAGTACACAACAAACAAGCCAAATTCTATATAGCATTCAGCAGTTGGACAGTGGCCTTGTAATCACACGTGACAGAGTGACATTTTCAGATTGTAATTCTATAGGCCTACCTTATTTATGCTGTATCCAAAAGCCAGGGCCAGCCCTTCCTCAAAATATCCTCAAGATATTTTGTTATTTTTAAACACTATATCAGAATAATTAAGACTAGTTGACCATTAAATTCACTGTGATTTTAAGTAGCAAAAGTGTATTTTGATAGTTGAATTCATTATCTGAACAGTACAGACTCTAAAACACATGCAAAAAGATGTTTTATCGCACTTTATTTGTAAATTTTCTATTATGAAGCTTTCAGTCATCATGTTTTAACATTTGGTTATAAATTTATTTAAAAAATCTAAATGTAGAATAAAAATTTACTGACTAATTGAAAAAATACTCACTGTCTAGTTGCCTATTAAATAAATATAAATAGATCAATAAAGAGAACTAAAATAGAGTTAGTTGCAACCCTAACTGTACACTACCAGTAAAAAGTTTGGACACACCCTCTCATTGTTATTTTTTTCTTTATTCGTATTACTTTTAGATACATATGGACATACGGAAGACATCAAATACGTATACAGTGCTGATATACAGAATTATGTTGCATAGATAAAAAGTGAAATAACTCTATTAGACTAAATATCTTTCAACAAAGCAAATTGAGGCTTAGAGTTAATTAACTTTTTCCCCCTTTTGATGTCTTCTGTATATATATATATATATATATATATATATATATATATATATATATATATGTATATATATATATATATATATATATATATATATATATATATATATATATATATATATATATATATATATATATATATATATATATATATATATATATATATATATATAATATAAATGTACACTATAGTAAAAATAAAAAAATACAACTCTGAATGAGATGGTGTGTCCAAACACTGGTAGTGTACATGTTTTAATTAATATAATATTTTCTAATTAACTTTCGTGAAGCCTAGGATTAGAAAGTGTGAGGGTAGCTTATCTGTCATTTGCCTGGCACCTGTCTGTCCTTTGTCATACACTGTCTGTCCTAACTGAGGCTGAAGAGGATAGCATGCTGGGTGTATCTGGGTGTCTGTCATCTCCTCTAACCTTCTAGTGGAGTTGCTGGCTTTAAACTTGGTGCAGACTTTTAGCAGTAACAGATAAAGTGTTACAGAGGCTACAGAGAGATCATGAAGAGTCCTGTGAAAATGGTGGAGAGCTTGGCCCCGAGCTGGGACGTGTGGTTGGTGAGCAGCGTGTGTCTGGTGGCCACATACATCTGGAGCAGACTGGGACAGTTACTTTGCCACAGGAAGAAGCTGAGAGCACCTCCTATTAAGGTAGCAACTGTTGAAATCTAACACAATCTGACACTATTACTAATAAATGAGTTGGAGGCTGCTTTGTTTGAAAATGGTCCTGTTTTTATAGAAGCTGTAGTTGGCCTTGAGTAGATAGTGGAGTGTTCAATGTTACATTCCTTAAGGCGTCACATACCATGGGTGTTCTTTTTTACTATAATGTGCACTCTCCCGTAATATGTATAGTCTATGTGAAATTAACCCGGGATAATTTTTTTATGTATTTTAGATATTGAGTCATATTTTCGTCACTGATTTGCAAAGAAACTCTAAGCAAATTGGCAAAAAAAAGCAAAAACAAAACAAAAATAATCACTATACTATAAAACATTTATTATTTAAACCAAATTACAACAAGATGCCCTTTAAACTTTTAAGGTGTACTATCTAACTTTTCTGGTGGAGGGTCCACCATTATTATTGGTTGGAAAGTTCCACTGCATTTTAAATATTGGCATCTACTCTGTTACAGATGTTTTTATCTCCTATATTCTGTTTTTATTCCTTGAAAAACATGTATTACTGCTGTGCATCGGCGCGCCTCTCCACATATCTGGCCTGTAACTTGGCCTGTTGCTGTCACCTGCTTGTCCCCTTAATGACATTCTGTGGAACATTCTAGGCAACACAATGCCATCTCCTCTGACACAAGTAGGTGGTGCACTCTCCACCAGAATCATTAATGCATCTCTATAAGCTGTGCCTCAATAATAAACAAGGGGGTAGCCTTGTTCTGCAACTCAGAAGGCATCTGATAAGGCCTTATATAACAGTCCTTATGAGTACTGATATTTTAAATATGCTTTCAACATATACTCTAAACATTGCAGTTATCCTTATGTAATTACAATTGTAAATAAATAACTAAGTAGTACACACGCCATGTGACTCAGTGTTCAAAACATAACCCTTTAGTTTAGGTGACCCTTCAGATCAGTTGCACTCTCCATCTTTCAGCACTGTTCATTAGTGCATGACTGTGTTATATAACCTACAGTATGTTGCTCTCCATATAGATACCACTTTAATGCTCTGAGTACCACATGTAACCCTTTCAAGAGTAATGTGATCCAGACAGTTCTAGTGAGGAGGATCTAGTGTACCAAACTGTAACTCTGATACGTGTGTTAATTATGTTGTGAATGACAGCAGGTTGTTTGGTTTATGGATGAACTTATACTGCTCTCTAGTGGTGTACTGTGAAACTGCATATGCTATCAGTCGGAACTTCAAAAGATCTCTGGCTCCCCCTACTGAATACTTACATGCAATAGTAAGAATAGGAATTGTATAATATTAATATATTGTGATGATACAACTGATGAAAGTATGCTGTTGTATCTATCGTTATATCATATATTTATATATCTATTTCTCTTTGTAATTTTACAAAATAATTTTGTGATGTTACAATTTTGTTGCTTGTTTAGCAAAAAGGAATCTTGTTTATGCAATACATTTGGCTTATTCACTAGTGTGATGATTAAAATTGGTGTATCCCATATTAAAGCATATCCTATATTACCACATGATATGTGTTTGAGAAAAGAACACAGCCTAAATATGCAGGATTTGTGTGTTAAACATGTCAGTGAAGCAAAACACAACTCCAGGTATGTTTTTGATGAGGTAGCAACATTATAAGACAAGAGGATATTGTGTATAATTGGCCCTTTAAGCTTAAGGTATACTTTATTGTACTTGTAGGGGATATTATTGTACTGTGAGCCATGTATTGTGTATCATATTGCATCATGAGGGACCCTCTGATTCCCTGCCCTGGTCTATTGCATAACAATCTACATCATTGTACTATACTCCCTTTAAGAATATAGATATCATGTTATGTGGTGCAAATGGTATCAAAATGTGTG